TAGGTAGAGAAGAAATCATCGACCTGCTGGTTACTCCCCAGATGGTTGCAACAGGCAGGGCTGGACCAGGACAAAGCCAAGAGCCCAGAGCTTCTTCTAGATCCCCTATATGGGTACCAGAACCCGAGCACTTGGGCTGACTTTGGCTGCTCTCCCAGGGAACTGGGCTGTAAGCAGAACGGGGTTCTGGATAGGTGCTTGCATGGGATACCAGCAAGTAGCCTAAGTTATGAGTGCATAACCCCAGACCCCTAAAACTTACTGAGTGATGTACATTAAATTTCAATAAAGTATCTTAAAAAAAATCCACATGGATTCCAACTGTTTCTATCTTCTAAATACTACACTTTAATCTTTGATATTTTTAAATGACAAAATTGTTCTCTAATCATTCCTGCTTCGTAACCAACTATTTAAAATCCAAGAAATTTTTAACAGATTGTGAAAGCTAAGTTTCAGAAGTCTGATTAATTTTCCTTAATCTGTATAATCAAAATGACAATTCTGATCATGAATTTCATTCCCCGATTGCCCAATCAGTCCATGTTATCAGGCAAAATGAATTATCTAAGGATTCAGACAATTTTGAAATTGTGCGATTCTAAAGCCCCTGAGTCGGCTGGGAAAAAAATAATGCCTGTCAAACAAGATGATTTGTACACTCTCTGGTATGCACAGTATAAATCATTGTCTAAATCTGGCACAATACCCACTTTTGTGACCTGGGTTTTTAACCCCTTTTTGCTCCCACTTCACATGGTGGAAAGGAATTTAAATTACTCCTGTTTTTTTTCTATTCAAAAAGGCCCTGATACAGTTCAAGCCATTGTGCACAGTTCTGATATTCCACATGGGCACCAGTTTGAGTCCCAGCTGCTATACTTCCTACCCAGCTGCCAGCAACCAGCAAGCAGCAGCAGACGGCCAAGCGTGAGGGGCCCCTGCCACACACATGGGAGATCTGAATGCAGTTCTGGCTTCCTTGCTTCATCCTGGCCCAGTTACGGCTGTTGTGGCCTTTTGAGGAGTAAACTAGCAAATGAAAGATTTTTTCTTTTCTCTCTCTCTCTCTCCTTTCTCTGTGGCTCTGCTTTTAAATAACCAAACCTTTGAGAAAAAAAGTTCCCCCAAACAACTCAATCTCTCTCCTCGGATCCCAATAAAGGCTTCTTCTAAGTCATCTACTCTCCAAAATATATTAAACTACTCATCAATTTCGTGTAGTAAACTAATCCCTTGTGAAACAGTCATGAAAGACCAAGCTTATTTCTCCCTCCTTTAACTATTCTAGTGGTGTTCAAAAGTACCTGGCTTCAGGTGTTTTTGGTTCACAGGGACGTGAAGGTCACTGAAGTGCCAACATTACTCCCAGCCAATCTTTAAAAGAGAAAAAGCATCCTTACAATCTGTGGCTTACAAAATGAAACTTGAAAGTACAAATATATACATATATATTTACAGAATTTTTAAAAAGTGCAAAGATTTAATTTAGTGTTGATCTTTAGGTTTTAGTTACATAACTTTTAAAAAAAGATTTTTATTGATTTGAAAGGCAGAGTCATAAACAAGAGAGACCAAGAATCTTTCATCTGTTGGTTTATTCCCCCAGGTGGTCCTAAAGGCCCTGAAATATTCAGGGACAGATCAGGAACAGTTTCTACCTTCAAAGAGTTTGCAGGATGTTGGGAGAGAATGAAGCCTAGCTACAGTTTAAAGCAGATTGGGATAAGGGCCACACATTAAAGAGAGAGAGAGAAAAAATAATAACCATAACAACTGAGGTGGCAGCTAGAAATGTAACTGGTAAAGATTCCAAATATGAATAAGAAAGTAATATTTCAAGTAATATATCATAGTAACATTGGATATGACAAGAAGAAAATAACGTTTCCACTGGAATAATTAGAATAAGCAAGGAAATAATGACAGATTCCTAGAGACCTAAAGTGTGGCTGTAACACTGAGTGAAGACATGTCGACAGATGAGACTTTAGTCTGATTTACATACCAACATAAATATTGCTCACTCGCTATGTTAAATACTCCTAAACACTTTACAAAGGCAAGCTTAGAGGTTAAGACGCCAGTTAGGGCAGCATCTCCACCCCATGTCAGAATGCCTGAGTTGGAAGCCCAGCTCCACTTCCAATTCCAGTTTCCTAACGCTCATTTTGGGAGGCAGCAAACCATTGCTCACATAGTCGTGTCCTGCCACCTATGAGGGACATCCAGACTGAATTCCAGGCCCTTGGCCTCAGCCCTGCCCAGCCTCCACTGTCCCAGGCATGGGGAGGGGAAACAAGCAGACCAGATGGAAGATCTCTCCACCTTTCAAGCAGAAGCAGTTACCAGGTGTCTGCTCTCACATCCTTGGCCATCCTATTCATGCCTGGCTTAAATGCTACCTTCTCCACAGTTGATCCTTTCAGAAGAACATAATCTCTTTAAGCTTCATGATATTTTATCTGTGCCACTGGATAACATTTAATAGTATTTTGCTTCGAGATTACAGATTTTGTATGCATCCTTTCCTTTTTTGCCCCTTTATGTTGATCCACATTCTGTTTTTCACAAGGCTCAGCACATGCTGATGCTGGCTAAATCCAGGAAACAGGGGCCGTGGCTGGCACAGGACAGGTTAAGCTGTCATCACAATGTCACCACCTCACACCCCAAGCTTGGAGAGTTCCCACTACTCTACTTCCAATTCAGCTTTCTGTTCGTGTACCTCGCAAGTACTCAGGCCCCTGCCGTGCTAACTGGGAGATGGAGGGAGTTCCAGGCCCTGGCTGATGTAGCCGTGTGAGGAATGAAAGCAGACAGATCGATTTCTCTCTCCGCCATTCTGCCTTTCAAATAAATACTTAAAAAAAAAATCTGTACGCAATACTTGTTTGCAATTCACTGTGCAAAGTATTTTTTAGGAATTATTTCACAAAACTGACAACACAATTCACACATTCAATGGCTATTATCAGCTCTTGCTGTGACAGACAAAATACTAGAGCAAGATTATTATGGTCCCTGCCCCCAAAAAGCTCAGCCAAGGCAAGCTAGTACTGTGGGGATACCTGAAAAAAAACAAAAGAGGGATTCTCAAGGAAATACCTTGCTTCCCTGAATCTCACAGAAAATCATGGCAACGCCAGATTCAACTCAACTCCACAGACTGCACAATCAGACCCCGCAGCATGGACCTGCTGGGCAGGACGGTGAGCAGCACAGCCTGGGTGGGTGAGAGCGGCCAATCAGAAACTAGAAACAGGCTTTGGGAGCAGCCCAGCAGTGACACACGCTAAGTCTGGGCCATGCTCCCATAACCCACAGGTCTATCACGTGCTGATGAAGCCCTGGCCCAGCAATACCCTACAACAAAAGGTCTCAGCTGAAAAGCCATGGGCGTTAACACCCCACTTGAATGCACACTGGTCTCAGTTCTTTGCTGAGTTGCCCACCTGTCCAACCGGGTACAGTTCCTCGTCAAGCTTCACAAGCTGCCTTACGGCCCTATCTCATCTCTTGCTGGAAATTCTTTTTTATGGAATCTTTCTCATATATTGAAATTCTTTTTTTGAAAGATTTACTTCATTTTTATTGGAGAGTCAGATATATAGAGAAGAGAGACAGAGAGGAAGATCTTCTGTCTGATGATTCACTCCCCAAGCAGTAGCGACGGCCAATGCTGCCAGGAACCAGGAGCCTCTTTTGGGTCTCCCACGTGGGTGCAGGGTCCCAAGGCTTTTGGCCGTCCTTGACTGCTTTCCCAGGCCACAAGCAGAGAGCTGGATGGGAAGCGGGGCTGCCGGGATTAGAACCGGTGCCCATGTGGGATTCCGGTGCATGCAAGGCAAGGACTTTAGCTGCTAGGCTACTGCGCTGGGCCCTCGCTTAAATTCTTATGGCAAAACCGGGATGTCCTCCAGTAACACAATCACTGTGGTAGAGGTGGTATCCATCCGACAAACCAAAAAGTTCTAGAATAATCCTAAAATGAAAAACCAGTTCAAGAATAAAGATGGATTTCACTCACTGGTCTTCTAAACAGGGGAGGAAGACTAGGAACCAAACAAAAGTTAAAGTGCTGGTGGAGGACCTAACTCAACCTCGCTCTTACCTGGTAACACCTAACTGCTCATGAAGCCCCCTGAGGGCTCGCTCAAGGTTTCCAGAGCGTCCCATAAGGCGGACACTGCTGGCCATCAGGACTGCGTTGCGCGACAGCTGCCTGGTGCCGCTGTGTCACTAGCTCGGTGACCTTGGGCCATACTTGTCCTACCATTTGAGGGGCAGAGTGGAGTGGGGACTAAGAGCGAACAGTGCACACAGTCCCTCTCCTAGCCCTGCTGCAATGCTCCCCCGGGCGTCCCCAGACGTGGAGCTCCGTCCTTCCCCCGGAGAGGCCGAGCGTCCCAGCGAGGGGATGACAAGACCCCTCGGCAGGCCTCCTGTGGGCCCGAACCTCCGCCTCCCGGCTGAGGCACTGCGGAGCCCGGAGCCAAAGCCCTCGCTCCGTGTCGCCCAGGTCCCGAGATGGACCACCGCTCGACGGGACAACGACCCCGCGTCCGGCCGGTCATTTGGTCTAGCCTAGTTGCCTCCCGCAACAAAAGCAGAATGAGGCGTTTACCTCAGTTTCCACACCCTCCTAGCCGAACACGAGACTACATCCCTTTACAGTAGGTTTGCCAAACGAAGAGGCAGAGACACAATTCTAAAAACTAGCGCTGCTGTCCAAGGCTGTGCGGACAACGTAGGCCGCGACCCCACCGAGACCCGAACTCGGCTCTGCAGTCGGCCCGGCAACCGGCGCCTGGACACCGCGGCCCCGACGCAGGCCGCGCGCCCCGCCCCCTCCGCCGTCCGCCAATGGCCACCCGCGAGGGGGCTGCAGGCCCCGCCCCCTCGCCGAGCGCTCGGTCCGCGCATGCGCCTCGAGAAGCGGGCCGGGCGAGGAGCCGTCTGCGTCCGGGAGGAGGAGACGGAAATGGGCGGGGCCGGCGCTCACGGCGTCCTGCCTTGCCCGGCGCCCGCGACGATTGTCGCTGTGGGAGGAGGCTTAGGGTTGGTGGCTGGGCGTTCGGGGCCGGAGCCCCCAGCCCTCCCGAGCAGGGTCGTGGAAGCTGCGCTGAGCCGGCGGTGTTTGTGTGTGTCCGCCCAGAGATTCATGGAGAACTGCCTGGCGGCGGCCGCGCTCAACGGGGTGGACCGACGAGCCCTGCAGCGCTCGGCCAGGCTGGGCCGGGAAGTGCTGGAGCGCGCCAAGAGGAGGGCGGTGGACTGGCCTTCGCAGGAGCGTCCCCGAGGCGGCTCGGGGGCCCTTCCCCAAGCCGCGACCCCGGCCGCCTGCCCCCTGCACCTTGTCCAGGAAGAGGTGAGGGCCCAGTGCGGAGGACCGGCCTGCTGCGACCGCTCTGCTTCCCTCAATAGAGAAGTCTCTTGAAAACTCAATAAACAGTTTACACATCCGTGTTGGGTAGTGGTAAAACACAGATAGTGGTCCGCCATGGTTGGCAAATTGAAAAATAAAAAACTTCCTTCTTAGGGGCAGATTTGAGGTTTCTCCAGAACCCAGGAGGCTGTATCTCACCTGTGACTTGCCCTTTATTCAAATAGAGAGAAGAGAGGTTCCCGACCCTTAGTGCTTCCTTCAGAACAATGGCTGAATTCATGGACTATACATCAAGCCAGTGTGGGGTAAGTTGGTGTGAAGCAAAGCCATGCCTCCTGATCACTGCTGATGGGGCACGTGGTGGGAAATCTTGTAATTTAGGGAGAGTGGAGACTGCCTCTTCCACTTCATAGGCAGGTTAGAATCAATAGACCAGATGGTAAATCCAAATTGTCATTCCTCCGACAAGTGTGTCCTGAATATCTAATTCGAATTGTTGGGTGAACATCAGTGAACAAGCCAGGTGAAGACCCTCACTGGGTTTTCAGCTTAGTGGTGAAAAATGATTTATTTCCTGAATTTTAAAGTAAGTCACACATTTGTTTTTGGACTTGGAAAACTTTGGACTAGAGTTAATATTTGGAATCTTTTTTCTTTTTCTGAGAAGCAAAGATTGAGGAGTGAGAGCAAATGCAACAAGCTGACCAGCCCGAGGCCAGGAACTGCCCCCAAGTCTCCCATCCGTCAAGTCGTCCTCATTGCCACCCAAGGCCTGCGTTAGCAGGAAGCCAGAGCTGCTCATGGTGCCCAGCCCCTGCAGGATGGCGAGGTCCCAGCCACAACCCTGCCCTCAACTATATGGAGCCTCTCTGCTTTCCAAATGTATTAAAGCTGAAACAAACGTCTAGATTAGATCTTACCTCTATGTTTGTTTCCAGTTCCAGTAACCCTACAAAGATATGGGGAGCATAGACCTTGTGTGGCTGCTGGACGGGTTTGCTCCTGACAGTCTCTGGGCCTTATGAAGAATGTGCCACAAGACTAGGACGTGAGGCTACTGATGTATTTTAGCTTCCTTGTCATAACATTAAGACTTCCGAGGTCCTTTCCAACCATCAACAGTTTAGATTATAAACTGGAACATGAGAAATTTAAGTGAGGTTTCTGGTACTTTCTGTGGCTTCAGTGTGTCCCCCAAGTTTCATGTGTTGAAATCAGATCCCCATCGTGAGCCACTGAGAGGGTAGAAACTTCATAGGTGATGCTCAGATAGCCTTTGGGGGATGGTTAGGATTTGGGAAGGTCGGCAGGGCTGAGCCCCTTGCCGGAGCACGGATAGCTTGATGAACAAAGACCCGTGCGTACTGCCTGTCTCGCCATATGAAGTCTTCTGTGGCCTCAAGACGGCCAGCAAGATTACTGGAAGCAGACCCTTGAACACCCGGAACTGTAAACTAGCTACATAAAAAGTTATACATACATTACACATATAGTTGCCCATTATTTCTTATAATCAAATGGAGGAATATAGTACCATTCATTGAGATGGGTGAAATATGGTTTTCAAGTCCCTCTTCTGATGTACATATGTACATCATCTGTAAGTACATAGTGGAACTGTTGACCACATCATAGCCAACATACAGGAAATCACTTGGAATTAAGGTGATTGCTACTAGAAATGTATATAACATGCTGTCTTCTCGAGAATTATTATTTTAAAAAAGTGAGTGAAAGATGAAAATGCATGTGTTTTGACACTGGGGCAAAGATGTGGAACTTAACCTGACTGAGTTCAGTCCTGCCCACCTTTAGTTGGCCAAGCTCTTGCCCTTGAGAGGCAGCAGATGGCAGCATAATTAGGCCAAATGCTGTTTCCCTGTGGCACTTTCCCAGGGCTCAGCTTGCTTGAAACTTCAGTAGCCTGTCAAGGGCAGGTAGGTTTGGGCATTGTGGCCCTGTGGGTTAAGCCTCTGTTTGAGATGCCTGCATCTGTATTGGAGTACCTGAATTTGAATCCAACCTTTGCTTCCAGTCCAGCATTCTTGCTAATGTATACCCTGGAGGAAGCCAGTGATGGCTCAGGTGTTTGGGTCCTGGTTCCTGGCTAAGGCCTAGTTCAGTCTCCATATGTTACAGCCATTTGGAGTGAACCAATGGATAGAAGATCTCTCTCTTCATCCTTTTCTTTCCTCCCTCCTCTTTGCCCTGCATCTTACAAACAAATTTAAAAAGGAGGCAAATAAATTGCCTTTGTTCTCTTGCCTCCCTGCTTAACTTATCAACCAGACTATTTGGTCACCAACTTCACTCTCTCTCCTGTAGAAATATTACTCATCTGTGCCTGAGGATGGAGGGACAGCCCACGTCTGTCGTTACCACAGACGGAAGCCAAAGCTGCACGTGTGTTCGGAAGCGGGGGACAGTGAGGTACGTGTCTTCCCGTGGGCTGTGCTGCACTCATCCTCCACAGCTCCCTTAGGGCCTGGACTTTTTAAAAATTGCTTATTTGTCATTTACTTAAAAGGTAGGTAGCGTTACAAAAAGAGGAGATAGAGGGGTCTTCTATCTGTTGGTTCGCTCCCCTAATGGCCACAATGGCTCCGGCTTGGCCAGGGCAAAGCCAGGAGCCCAGAGCTTCTTCCAGGTCTCCCATGGGTGTGCAGGGGCCCAAGTACTTGAGCCTTGTTCCACTGCTTTCCTAAGTGTATTAGCAGGGAGCTGGACTGGAAGTGAAGCAGCAGGGACATGAACTGTCACTCCTGTGGGATGCTGGCACTGCAGGTGGCTTTTACCCACTGTGCCACAGTGCTGGCCCACCAGTTGGATTCCTGACTTGTCCGGCCGTGTGCCATCTTGAGATGTTGAAGGGGTAGAGGAAAAGTGGTGAGTGGGCCTAAGGATCAAGGGCTCAACGCAGGCATGAAGCACTTGCGTTCCTTTCCTGGCCTGAGATGTGCAGAGCCACACCAGAGCCCAGGTCCTGGGTGTACCTCAGCTCTCATGTAAGTGTGCCTACATAGGCTAGGAAAATTACTATCTCACCATATAAAATGTTAGTTGGGCCAGTGCCATGGTATAGTAGGCTAAGCTTCCACCTGTGGCACTGGCATCCAGTAGAATATCAGTTCGAGTCCCAGCTGCTCCACTTCTGATCCCCTCCCTGCATATGGCCTAGGAAAGCAGCAGAGGATGACTCAATTCTAAAAGATTTATTTAATTTTATTGTAGTCAGATATATAGAGAGGAAGAGAGACAGAGAGGAAGAGATTCACTCCCCAAGTGGCTGACGCAGCCAGAGCTGAGCTAATCCAAAGCCAGCAGCTCAGAGCCTCTTCTGGGTCTCCCATGCTGACGCAGGGTCCCAAGGCTTTGGGCCGTCCTCAGCTGCTTTCCCAGGCCACAAGCAGGGAGCTGGATGGGAAGTGGGGCTGCCGGGATTAGAACCGGTACCCATATGGGATCCTGACACATGCAAGGCAAGGACTTTAGCTGCTAGGCTATCGTGCTGGATCCTCAAATAAAATCTTTGAAAAAATACATACACATGGGAAAGTGGCTTTATCAGCCTGCTCCCTTTCCATACCTCTACTCCTAGCAAAAATGCAGAATAGAATTTTATTTCCTGAGGACCTGTGAAGCATCAATCACTTTGGCATATTAAATCTCCCTTAAGGTCTTGTAGGTCTGCGTTACCCTCTAGGAGCAAAACTCCAAGAAGTTCCTATGTCTCTTTTAGTCAATAGCAGAGATGGATTTTAAATTCAGATCTGACTCCAGACCCTATGAGAGAATGAAAAATAATTGTAAAATCTGACAAGAAATACCTTTGATGGTTCACTGAGAGATGTAGTAAGTTAGGTGACAGCTTAGAAGAAGTTGACCAAACTGAAAATCAGAAGACAAAGGTTAGGCGCTAATCATGCTTCTGCTGCCTCTTTAGGGGAAAGACAGAGACGAGATGGCCCTTGGTCCTGGAGGCATCCGCCCATCACCAGAGCATACCCTGCAGCCCTCCCAGTCGGTGGGTACAGAACCACTCCCTTCCTAGACCCCGTGGCCTTGGCTTTGTCATCAGCCAGCTGACCTGCTTGTGAGAGGCCTTTCTGCCGCATGGGACCTGTGGTGGTTATTCAGTTGGGATGTCCTTACATTTAACAGAGGGCACACAAACGTTTGCTTGAGTGTAAAATGGCTTGCATGGTTTCCTTCCTTCACTGGAAGCTTCAAGGAGACTCTTTGGGCCTGTACTCATAATTGTGGTTAAAAAGAATGCAAAGCATTCACATCTCAGCGCCCACGGCTCAGCTGGGCTGGCGCTGGATTCTGCTGGAATTCCACCATCTGTTCAAGCAGCAGGAGGGACCCGACCCCCTTGCTGACAGAGTGAAATGGATACTGAAAATCTGAAGCATATACATTCAGTGAGATCAGGTTCCAAAACATTTGCAGGCATTTTTTCCCTTTCTCTGCAAATGTTTCTCTAAAATACATACAGTGATGCGTTTTTCGTTTTTAAGATACTCATTAGGTCATGAACCCAAGGAATTCTGTTGAGGGGGGCAGGGTAGAGCTTTGGGAGAACTGGCATTCTGAGGAAGCCTGTTGCAATAAATTCCTTGCTTTTTATTTGTATACAGTTTGCTGCTGCCAGGATTGGGAGTTAGCACACAGAGAGAAGTTGTTAGGCTTAGATGCCTGTAACCCTGGCTGGCTCATTTTTAGGTAATACTGATTTTCCTGATGTTCCTCAGTATTGGACCCACAGGTATCATTTTAAAAAAATCTATTTGTACTGAAAGCGTTATGAGGGGATGGAGAGAGACAGAGGTATCCCCAAATGGCTGCAGTGGCCAGCACTGGGCCAGGAGCTGTTTCTACATCTCCCACATGGGTAGAAACGGGGCCCATATGCTTGGGAATTTGCTGCTGCTTTTCCCAGACCATTAGCAGGAAGCTGGATGGGAAGCAGAACAGCTGGGACATGAGCCCCTCGCCTAGATGACATGCTGGCATCTCAAGGCTGTGGCACCTGCTGTGCTGATCACCCACCCCAGCTATATTTTCTGAAACCTTTTGTGTATTCACATGGTTGGTAACCAGCAGGTAGCCAGGGCATTGTCAATTAATGTCCTATCAGTTTTACAATAGGCCTACAGTTTTGCAGTAACTGGGCAGGAAGGAGTATAAAGCAGCTTTGGAAAAAATTGGTTTTAAATCTGTCTGCAAGGTAGGGAAGGTGAAGGCATTTCACAAACATATCATCTGTTCCTCCTTGGTAGTTTCCCATTTGTGAGCCATGGTTCCTCTAGAGTATTTGCAGTAGCACCCTAGCTGTCATTTTGGCTCTTTGCTGGTTTGCTACTGTTTTTTGATTTTTTTAAGATTTATTTTTATTGGAAAGATTTAGAGAGAGAAGGAGAGACAGATATCCCATCCACTGGTTCACTCCCCATGTGGCTGCAACAGCCAGAGCTGAGCCCATCTGAAGTCAGGAGCCTCTTCCAGGTCTCCCAAGGCTTTGAGCTCTACTGCTTTCCTCTGCTGCTTTCCCAGACCACAAGCAGGGAGCTAAATGGGAAGTAGAGCAGCCAGAATAAGAATTGGTGTGCATATGGGATCCTGGAGGATGCAAGGCAAGGACTGTAGCCACTAGGCTACTGTGCTGGGCCCTGTTGTTTTGTTTGTTCTGTTTTGTTTTGTTCTAAGGCAGCTTTACAGAGAGAAAAGAAGAGACAGATATTTTATCCACTGGTTCACTCCCCAAATGGCCGCAGCTAGAATGATCCAAAGTCTGGAGCCTAAAGCTTCCTCTTGGTCTTTCACGTAGGTGCAGGGGCTCTAACGCCTTGCCATCCTCCACTGCTTTTCCCAGGCCATAAGCAGGGAGCTGGATCAAAAGTGGTGTAGCTGAGACTTGAACCAGCTCCATATGAGATGCCAGTTCTGCAGGCAGAGGTTTAACCTACTACGCCAAGCACCAGTCCCCTATTCCATCCCTCTTAGCCTTTTGCACTGAAGCCCATCCCCTGCCTGCCCACCTGCCTTTACCCAGCTCTGTGTGGATTCTGTCCTCGGAGAACAGTTTGTACTCAGTTCAGTTCTAAACACAAATCTGTCCATTAACTGTAGCTTTCCATGTTTTCACCACAGAATTCAGTTCTCCAAGTAGGGCTTTGGCCCACTTGCTGGTTTCCTGCCCCAGTGACAAAATGGAATCCACTCATACTTTCTTAGCTTTAAAAGTAATGTTTCATTTTCCCAGTTGTGAGCTTGGTAAAGCACAGTTGAAATATTTTGTTACCCTTACTGCCAGTTTGGGTTGCCAAGTGCCCGTTCCCTTTTCTGTGACCTGATTCATGGCCACCCAGAGTGCAGTTTTTGTGTACTTGTTCACATTCCCATGACACTTGAATGTTTGTAGTGTTCTTGCAGTTTGAGAAATAAGGAAGTAAGCATGAAGAAAGGCTGAGCCTTGCCAAGGGCACTGCGGCCCCGGGGGCTGCCTCAGCCTTCCACTCCGCATGGCACTGCGCCCATCATTCTCTGGCCCACAGGGGAGCCTGGTGGAGAACCTCAAAGGAGCTGAAATGTCATGCCCTCCCTTCTTTGCAGGCCACGGACACCTCTAAGGACCTCTACATAGAAGTGTTCCCAGGGACCTATTCTGTCACCGTGAGCTCAAATGCCTTCACTGGGAAGACTCACGTGGTCGCGGTTGATTTGGGACAAAGTGTGGATTTGGTCTTCCCCGTGTGATGTTGACTATCACTGCCCTTTTATTTTTAAGGAACAAGAAGAATAAAGCCATGGTATGACTCTCTGAGTAGTTGCACATTACTGCTGCTCTCAGTACTGGCCAGGGAGGGCCAGCCCTCCTGTGAACGAGCTTCCACCTCTGCCAGGGGCAGCGCGAGCCAGCAAGAGCCCCACATCCTCTTTGGTGATTAAAATAATGTGATGATGTCACCTGATGGTGTCTATAAAGGCTAATTATGAGAATAAAGAGAGAGATTTGGAAATGAAGAGATGTCTTTTATTTGCATGAAGAGGTATACTAACACTCTCTTACCTACAGCTAACTGTGGGCTGCGCAAAGATGATGGGGAGGCTGTGGACACGCTGGCCCCACGCAGGCTGCCGAGCACCCCTGTGGCTGCTGAGGATGCAGTGTGCTGACGCAGAGTCATGGGTCCCTGGGACGGGATGCGGGGAACCACGCACCTGCCACCATACCCCTCACGACAGGTGTCTTCCTGCTGCCTGTCTGTAGCCAGTCCTCATGGGTAAAGGTTCCTGCTTCCACTGAAGGTGGCCCTGGGAGCCACTTGCTAATACCACCACTGTTCTTTGATTCCTGTAAGAGAAAAAGAATATTAAAAGTAATTGACTTGAGGCTGGCACTGTGGTACAGTAGGCTAAGCCACCGTTTGTGACACTGTGTCAGAGCCCTGTTTCTAGTCCTGGCTGTTCCACTTCCAGTCTAACTTGCTGCTACTATGCCTCGGAAGGCAGCCAGGAGCCTCTTCCAGGTCTCCCACATGGGTACAGAGGCCCAAGGAGTTGGGCCATCCTCTGCTGCTTCCCTAGGCCTTAAACAGGAAGCTGGTTGGGGAGTGGAACAGCCAGGACATGAGCCTGCACCCATATGGGACACTGGTGCTTGAAGGTGGATTAGCCTACTGAGCCACAGTGCTGACCTCTCTTTTTTTTTTTTTTAAGTCACTGGTTTAAAGTCACTGATTTGTCCCAAGTGTCCTTACGTCACAACACCGACAGTATGATTGCTCCTGGCAGTGTAGTTGCTTGATGACTCACCTAGTGTCTTTCCTCAGTAAATAGGCCAATGTTTTGCATGTTGAAAATGCAATTGTGCATACATCTATGTTCAAGCCGACTCAGGGACACAGGGCCTAGTAAAGCACCATGGAGCAGGGCGCCACTAAAATGGAGAGCCTTATACCGTCTCCTTCCTCCTCCCCCCAAAGGCCTGTACTGAACCCTGTGTAGTCTGTAAGCTTCTGAAGCTAAGTGCAAAATGCTGAGTATGTCCCTTTTTTCTAGGAAAGGAGCTATAGAGCTATGACTTTTACCATCCTCACGGGGTGTGGCCCTAGGAGTTCTAACAGCCATGTAAGGAGTCCCCAAGAAGCCCCCTCTCCACCATCCTGCTTTACCTAGGTCCTCAGAGCTTGCTGCTGGGGCTAGTTCTTGTCCCTGTGATGTGTTCCTTCACTTGGCCTTCTGGGTGCAGCTTCCTCCGGCAGGATCTGTGATGGCTTCACATGAAGGGCTCTCCGGGTCAGCTCCTTGGCAGTCCCCATCACTACAGTTTGCACTCTATGCTGTTTATTGTCCTCTTTCTGCTGGATGTTGCAAGATCTTGCTCCTAAACCCAAAATCCATTTGTTATGTTAGAGGTCATTTAACAGGATTATTCTTTGGGAAGCAGAGAGCAAGTTTCCATCTTTTGGTTCTCTCCCTGAAATGCCCACCATGGTCCTAGGCCCCAGGCTGAAGCTAGGAGCTGGGACCCCAGTGCAGGTCTCCCATGTGGGTGGCAGAGAGCCAATTATCTGAGCCATTTCCTCTGCCTCCTGGGGTCTCATCAGCAGTAAGGTGGGGTAGCCAGGCACTTCAGTGTGGAACATGGGCAACTCAACACCCATCTTGAAATGACTCTTGATGTCAGATCATGGTTTAGTAAGGGGCACCGATCTGTCTGTAAGCTCCTAGTATTGTTCTCTTTTTCCAAAGAGAAATACTGTTTTGTTAACCGTTTCTGGCCATTGTGTTTTTGAGCAAAGTGAATTATCAGACACCCAGATTTGGAGTTGGAGAAGACTTGTTTTCTCAGAGAACTGGTGGGGGTAACCGGTAAAGCTACCCCCGTGAATGGGCATCCAGAATGGGCACTGGTTTATGTCCAGCTGTTCCACCTCTGATCCAACTCCCTGCTAATGGTCTGGAAAAAGTAGGAGATGATGTGTCAGGTGCTCAGGCCCTGCCAACCATGTGAGAGACCTGGACGAAGCTCCTCCTGGCCTCTGACTGGCCTCTGACTGGCCTCATGGCCTTCTAGGGAGTGAATCAGTGAATGGACATCTGTCTCCTTTCTCTGCCTGCAATTACAGAAGCTTCTCCTTGATCAGAGAGAGCTGGAGGCTGCAATTGGGCCGCAGGTTAAGTCACTGCTTCTGACACTGCTATCTTATGGTGGAGTGCCACTTTGCTACCCAGATACTGCGTTTCTAATCCAGTTCCCAACTCAGGAGTCTGGGAAGGAAGCAGGAGATGGACCAGGCGCTTGGCCCCTGCCACCCTTGCGGGAGACTAGAATGGAATTTCAGGTACCTGGCTTCAGCTTGGCCCAGACCTGGCAGTTGTGGTCTGTTGAAGAGTAAACCACTGGATGTTTACTGCCTCTCCTCTCCTCTGCCTTTCAAATAAAATAAATAAATATATATATTTAAATATATATATAAATATATAATAAATATATATATAAATATATATAAATAAATATAAGGATTTATATATAAATAAATTTATATATAAATATATATATTTATATATATTATATATTATATATTATATAATTATTATTATATATTATATATATTATATATATTATATATTATATATATTATATACTATATTATATATTATATATTATTTTATATTATTTTATTTTATATATATTATATTATTATATATTATATTATAATATTATATATATTATATTATTATAATATTATATATATATTATATATATTATATATATAAATATATATTATATATATTATATATATAAATATATATTATATATATTATATATATAAATATATATTATATATATTATATATATAAATATATATTATATATATTTATATATTTATATATATATTTATGTATATATTTATATATTTATATATATATTTATTTATATATATATTTATATTTATTTATATATATTTATATATATTTATATATTTATATATTTATATATTTATATATTTATATATTTATATATTTATATATTTATATATAATTTATATATAATTTATATATATATAATTTATATATAATTTTTATATATTTATATTTATATTTATATATATTTATATATAAATTTATATATAAATTTATATATAAATAAATATATAATAAATATATATATATATATGGGATATATTAAGCTAGTGGGAAAGTAAGCTTTAAGAAACTGAATTAGGGGACTTCCAGCCGCCGCATGGCAGCTGGGAGACCCTGGGACGGTGGCGTCTCATGCCTGGATCTCACATGGCGGCTACCACATGCATGTGGGGAACTGCCACCGGGCCTGCCGGAGCCCCGTGGACTACCTACCCTTCTTTGGGGTGGGTCTCAGAGCTTTGTGTAGCAGGTCTGGGCCGTCCCACTGCTCGCCCAGGGGGCTGGAGCTGGGGATGGGACCAGGAAGGGGTGGGACTTGAGCCTGGGGGGTTGGACTTCTAGCCGCCAGCCTGGCAGAAGGGGGGGCCCAGGACAGTGGCGTCTCATGCCTGGATCTCACATGGTGGCTACCACGTGTACGTGGGGAGCTGCCACTGGGCGGCCAGTGCGCCATTTGGCGCTAGGCTCCGCCTGATGACCGCCCAGCCAGGGAGCTCTGGGATTTTGCTTCTTTGATTGCTGCTTAGATAGCTCCATGCTGAACCCTCAGGGCTTTGGGGACGTGAATCAATCCTAAAGATTCCCAATAACAGTAAATCTTCCTCAGATGAACCTGTAATTAATACGGTCTCAACTCATGTGTTTTGAAAAATTGTAAAACCTAATATACTTTCAAAACCTTGTGCTACTTAGAAATGGGGCAGAGAGCAAAGAAATCTTCCATCTCCTTTGAATGTGTGAGGAAGCTGTGTAGTGTAACCTATAAGGAACTTAACAGGTAACTTATAGACAATAGATTCAAAACAGCATTAGACAATAGTAAAACTACAAAGACATACAGGGGGAATCAAGAGCGATCCTGACAACCTATTAACAGGAGGTCATATGCACAGAGTGGGGGGGCCCCCAGAGTGGAGCAGGGGGACAGGAGGAGGCTTGTATCCCAACCCTGGAGACTCCCAGATCCCCACCAAGGACTATCAGTACGGGCACCAAGGACTACATCCCAACTGCCAGAGACCACGGGGAACTGGAATGCCTTCGGAGGCCGAGAACTCAGAGGACACCCCCCCACCCCCCGCCTTTGGACCTACCACACGGGATGGAAGAAGCCCAAATCCTTCCTCATAGGATCCAAGGTCATCAGAACAACAGCCAGGAACCCTGAGCGGTCCTCAGAATCAGAACAACAGTAAACTTCCTTCGGGACTAAGGAGAGGAGCTTTCTCTGGTCCTTACTTAGTTTCAACTTTGGGTCCCCACCCTCTATGCAATGACCATCAGGGTTGCTCCAGAGCACCCTCCCAAACACACACACACACACACACTCTCTCTCTCTCTCACAAATTAGAATAGATAGGCAGAGAACAACAAGGAAAGCTTGGTCAGCGTGGACTCACACATACCTTACTAGGTAGAACACAAAGATTAAGTACTCCTCACCAAGGTATTGAAGAATTCTCTGCACACCCCTCCTAAAACTGTTTTGCACCTCAATTGTTGAAATGTCATTGAAGTAGTCACAGGATGTTGTTAAGAACTTGCAGTTAATTTTAACATATTGGTTAGTCAATACCATGTCAATTAATTCCATAACGTGTAAATTGTTGTAGATGTTAAGTTAGGGCTTTTAATTGATCTGGATTTTACTCTGTTGGCTCTACCTTCAGACCAGAGAAGGTCTCCCCAAGAAGCTGTCGAACTTATCTGGACAATAAGATGCTGGACTCTATGCCTGGCATATGCTTGCAATGAGAGAGTCTCAATTGAACTTGAACTTGAACTGTGGTTACACAACAAGGGGGAGGAATTCACCATGGGGAGTGGTTAGGGGAGGGGTGGGGGGAATCCCAGTACCTATAAAACTGTCACATAATATAATGTAATTAATAAAAAAAAAGAAAGAAACTGAATTAGGGGTCCAGTATTATTATTCAGTTGGCTAATCCCATATGTTAGGATCCCATAAGGGTACCAGATCATGTCTAGCTGTTCCACTTCCCACACAGCTCCCTGCTTAAGGCCTGGGAAAGCAGCAGAGAATGGCCCAAATCCTTGGGACCTGCATCCACATGGGAGACCAGGATCCTGGTTTTAGAACAGCTCAGTTCCGGCTGCTGGGGCCACTTGGGGAGTAAACCAGTACAAAAAGACAACTCTGAAATCCCACAAATTGAACCCTGTTCCAGTCAAGCCAGGGAGGAGAGCATCCTGTTGGCAGCCAGCAATCTGGCCACCCTGAGATCGGGAGCAGTGGCATCTCACTGTAACAGAAAGGAATGGATGTGTGCTGACTTCATGATGGGCCCAGCTGGACTGACGGTCAAAGCTTTAGTACCCAGGCCCAGCGCAGTGGCTAAATCTTCACCTTACATGCACTGGGATCCCATATGGGTGGGCACTGGTTCATATCCCAGCTGCTCCACTTCCCATCCACCTCCTGGTAAAGGAGTGGTGGATGGCCCAAAGCCTTGAGATCCTGCACCTGCATAGGAGGTCCAGAAGAAGCTCCTGGCTCCTGGCTTTGGACCAGCTCAGCTCCAGCCATTGCAGCCACTTGGGGAGTGATCTGTATAGTTTCCAGCAGATGGAAGATCTTTCTGTCTCTTCTGTAAATCTGACTTTCTGATAAAATTAAAAAAGTTTTAGTTCCCAGCAGAGCTGATAGCAAACACGTGTGGTCCAGCTAACTGACATTCAGGAGAGGCTAGCAGCACATTTACCCGGGTGCTTGCCCCATATTACAGCCCTGGCCCACACGTGGTTCTGAACAATTCATTTATGCTAGTTAACTGTGGTGGGCCGCACTGCACATAGCCCTGGGGAGAGCAGTCCTTTAGGCAGTAGCTTCAAATGAGGCCCTCCAGTGGGCCTCAGTGTGGGTGGGGCCTAGGGACCATTACTGCAGTGTTAACCCTCCTAGCTTGCCGGCCCCAGGCATACAGTTGTCAGGTGGTAAATCAGGCAACTCTGGGCCTCCCCCTCTACCCACCCCGCCAAGAACCTAAGCTAGGAACCTGTGTCTAGGGCACCCTTCACACGGCTCTGCCAGCTGCCTTTGGCTCTGTTCTTCCTGGGCCTTGCTGTAAACTTAGGACAGGTGTGAGGCAGCCTCTGAAGATGCTGCTCCCAGCCCACTGAGACTCACACTTCTCAGCTCCTGGCACAGAAGCGTGGGGAAGCCTGCAGACTGCTGAGGGCAACTAAATGCTGTATCCCCTCCTAGTTATAAAGCGTGTGAGGGGCAAAGGGGAGGGGGCATCGTGTTGCAGTGGAACATGCTAAGCTTTCACCTAAGACAGCCAATATGCATTCAGGTTCAAGTTCTGGCTGCTGCACTTCTGGCTCAGCTCCATAGTAGCAACCTAGGAAAAACAGTGGAAGTAGTGCTTGGGCCCCTGCACTAATGTGGGAAACCAGGACCAAGTTCCTGACTCCTGGCTTCAGTCTAGTCCAGGCCCAGCCATTGTGGCCATCTAGAAAGTGAACCAGTAGGTAGAAGATTTTGTCTCTCCCTAACTCTTTCAAACTATACAGATCTTAAAAATTACACACACACAGACACACACACACACACAAACTGAGCGGCATTCAGTGATGCCAACTTGGACCTGCTGGACAGCAGGGCCTGGAGGGCCTTGTTCAACAACCAGTTTCTGTGTTGCTCAGAGGACATTTTGACTGTCATCTAGAGCCAACTCAGGGCTTCCAAGAACAAAAAGAAGAGTCCTATCAGCAGAGATTAGCTGAGAAAGATACATTAAACAGGAGGACAGATCCCAACCCAGAAATCAGCCCCTTGTGCCTGTCTTCTTGGACTTACGGGTAACCATGAAAATCTGCCACCTAGCTTTCTCACAGACTCCCATTGACCAGAACGGTACTCCCAAGTATCCCAGTGCCCCCAGTGGGGACCCCCGACACCCTGCGCACACCTGGCTTCCCAGGCCGTGGCTCAGGGCCACGTCTCCTCCAGTACCTCCACTCGGGCTGGCAGAGGGCGGCCTGCTTCCTAGGCTTCTCGAGGAAGACAGGCTCCGTGTTGACTGCACTGTTAACCATCACGGTCTGGGGAAGGGACATCTCCAAATCCACATGTAAATCTTCTTCTTCAGTAGAGGAGGAGGAAGAGGAGGACAAGGAAGACGAGGAGGAAGAAGCTGCGACTGGAACCCGCACTGCTGCCGTCTTCTCTTTAGGACTGCCCAGGGGCAACAGCTGGGTGGCAGACATGAGCTCAGACTCCGCAAGTTCTCTGGTTGTGGCCTCTGAGCGTCTGGTTAGAGGCCACCAGGTGGGGCTGCCCAGAGGTGAGCAGCAGAGGCCACCCTGGCACAGCAACTGGCAGCAGGTGTGAGGGGGGCTGGCAGGACAGTGGGCCTGTGTGCCCAGAGGAAATCCACTGGTGCTATATCCGGTGGCTGGCCCCAGCAGAGAACAGCAGGGGGTCCAGAGCAGGGGCCGGGGGTGCAGCCGCTCCACAGCCTTCTTCCAGACAGCTGGGGACACTGGTCTGAGCCCATCTCGAGGCACTTTAGCTGTCATGCCATTCCAGAAGAGAACAGCAATTTCTTCCTTTGCTGCTAAGGCAAAGAAAGAGTGACAGTTTGTTCCAAGTCCCCCTTTTTTATGGTGAGGTGAGGGTTGTCTTGTCCCCAAAGGCAGAGCCTCAGCCACCTGTCTATGTGTTTCCTGTCCCCTATCCCCCAAAAGCCTACCATCCAAGAACTTCGCCAGGTTAGACTTGCATTTCTTGCAGCCCCTTACCAGGGGCCTGTGCAAGTCTGCCTGCTTTCTGGACCATGAGGGACCCAGAGAGGCCAATCACCCCATCAAACCAAACTGCTCAGTGAGGGCCAATACTGTGGCTTAGCAGGTAAAGCCAATGCCTGTGGCACTGGTATCCCATATGGGCACTGTTTTATGTTCCAGCTGCTCCACTTCCCATCCAGCTCCCTGCTAATTGCCTGGGAAAGCAATGGAGGATGGTCGAAAGCCTTGGGACCTTGCATTCGCATGGGAGACCTAGAGGAAGCTCCTGGCTCTGAATCACCACAGCTCCAGCTGTTCAAGCCATTTGGGGAGTGAAACAGCAGAAGGAGAAATCTCTCTGCCATTCAAATTATTTTTGTTGTTGTTGCTAATGTGCTCAATGAAAACCTCTTTGTCCCCTGGGACACACATAGACCTGGCTGGCCCCGAGATGAGGACCCTGGCTTCTAGAGGGCTTGGTCCTGTGTTCCTGTGTGACCCCAGGATCACCCACTCTGCAATAAACAGAGACCTGCTAGTTAAGATCACTTGCCCTGATTTTTTTTTTTAAGAATAGTCTGAAAAATACAACTTGCCTGCCTTTGTCAGCCCTAGGATTAAGCGACAAGTTGTCGGGCTATGGATCCTTAATGCTCCCAGAGTGCCTAAGCTGTAGAGAAACCCCCAGCCCCCTCCCTCCTCTGGCCCGGCTCTTCCTGGGGCAGAGCAAGCAGAGCAGTTCCCTTACCACTCTGGGCATCTGTCCTCTCCAAGCCCAGCAGAATGGTGCCAGGGCCATATCGCTGCTGCTTGGGCCCCCACGGTGCCAGCACCTTATCTCCAGTCCGCAGAGTGCATTCCACAGACGGGAGCAGAATCACGTCTTCTTCTGAGACCACACTCAGCCACGGGGCTGGCAGCTTTGGGTCTGTGACAAGGGGAACTTCAAATTCCACAAGCAGAGTGCCCTGCTGCAGCTGGTGAAGAGAAAACACCCAGGCTTAGAGGTGGCACTGGGCTGGGGCACTGTGGGGGCGGGCAAGGGGCATGGAGGGTGAGCCACTTGGAACACCCACATCCCATGCTGGGATACCAGGTTGAGGGCTGATCCAGCTACCCACTGATTCACCTGCGTGGCAGTTAATGATGCCCATACTTGGATTCTTGCTCCTCCCCACCCCTGCCCCCACATGCAGAGCCTGATGAGCTGCTGGCTTCTGCTTTCAGTCTGATTCAATCCTGGATGTTGCAGGCACTCGGGGAGCAGGTAAAGTGCCGTCCATCATGCCAGCTTCCCATATGGATGCATGTTCTAGTCCCATCTGTTCCACTTCTGATCCAGCTCCCTGCTATTGGTCTGGGAAAACAGTGGAGGATGACTCAAGTCCTTGGTTCCCTGTGGGAGACTTGGGTGAAACTCCTGGCTCCTAGCTTTGCACTGGTCCAGGGCTGGTCATTGTACCATCTGGGAAGTGAATCAGTGGGTGCAAGACTTCCTCTGTACTTTGCTTTTCAAATAAATAAACAAACAAATCTGAAAGGAGGGGAGAACGGGAGGGAGGAGGGAATGGTGGAAGGAGGGTGAGAGAGAGAATAGGGACAAGAAGTGTGGCATAGCAAGCTAAGCCTCTGCTTGCGATGCTGGCATCCCATATAGGCACTGGTTCTAGTCTCAGCTGCTCCACTTCTGACTGTGCCCATGTGGAAGACCCGAAAGAAGCTCCTGGCTCCTGGCTTCAGACTGGTCCAGCTTCTGCCATTATAACCATTTGGGGAGAAAACCAGTAGCTAGAACATTCTCTATGTCTCCTTTTCTCTCTGTAAATTTGCCTTTCAACTAAGTTTTTAAAACAATCTTAAAAAAATTGGGGAGGGGGGGACAACATGGGCCAAGGTGCTCAGCACAGCAGTTATGATGCTGCTTAGAGTGCCAGCACTCCTTATTGGAGTGCCTGGGTTCAAGTTCCAGGTCCACTTTTTTTTTTCAGGTCCACTTTTTAGTTTCCTGCTCATGTGCACCTGGGAGACAGCAGGTGATGGTTTGAGTACCTGGGTTCCTGCCACCCACGTGGCAATCTGGAGTCCCCAGCTCTTTTGGCTCAGCCTGACCCAGCTATGGTTGTTACAAACACTAGGGTGTGAGCCTGCGAAAGGAACATCTGTCAAGGCAGAAATGGTCAGGTCACTGAGTTCCCCACAAGCAGAGGATGGCCCTAAGTCTCCCTTACAAACCATGAGAACCCTAAGAGGAGAGCGGCAGGCAGACCCAGCTGGCTACAGCACCCTGGTTCTCTCCCTCTCTTCCCACCCTAGGGGGCTCTGGTGACCACTTCCCCCTTTCCCTTTCTCTTCTCTTCCTTTTCCTACTTCGCTTTCCTCCCACCGAAATTTTGGCCTGCAGTTCCCCAGCGGAACCTGGATCCTCAGAGTCTTTTTCCAGTGCACTCTCTCTTCCTCCTGACACTCCCAGGAAGTTCTGTTCCCATGGCTGGCTGGTGACGAGCCCACAGAGCCCACGGGGCCAGGACTGATGGAGAAAGCCAGAGCCAAGTAAGGGAAGAGCATAGAAGAGTAGTACATGTATTTAAGCTGGTTTGAGTGCAGTAACTGTATTTGAACAAAACTCAACATTTTAACAATGTATATATTTTTTATTGGACCTGACGCAGTGGGCCTCCACCTTGCAGCACTGGCATTCCATAAGGGTGCTGTTGTGAGTCATAGCTGCTTCCCTTCTGATTCAGCTCCCTGCTAACGTGCCTAAGGAAGCAGCGTAGGATGGCTCAGGTCCTTGAGCTCCTGCACTCACATGGTAGACCCAGAAAGGAGCTCCTGGCTTCGGTTTGGCTTAGCTCTGGCCATTATAGCCATTTGGGGAGTGAACTAGCTGATGGGAGACCTCTCTTTGTAAATCTGTCTTTCCAAAAAAATAAATAAATAAATAAAATATTTTAAAGATAAACAAAATCTTTAAAAATATTTTTATTTATTTTAAAAGCAGAAAGAGGCAGAGGAAAAAAAGAAAGGGAGGTTAAGGAAGGAGAGAGAGAGATAGTCTGTCTGCCAGATAATTTCCCAAAGTGCCTCTAACAGCCAGGCCTGAGCAAAGCTGAAGCCAGGAGCCTGCAACTTCATCTAGGTCGCCTAGCAGGTGGGCAGGGCCCCAAGTACTTGAGCCATCACCTGCTGTCCAGCAGGAACAAATTGTGAGGAAGCTGGACTGGAAGTGGAGCTTGGTTTCTTCTGCAGGGTGGGGAACTGTTTCCAGCTAACTCAAAGTCCAGGATGGGGAAAACTAATGTGACTTCTCAAAAAAGTATGATAGCATTTCCAAACAAACATCAAAATCCTATTATATCTTTTGGAAATTCACATTTAGCATTTTCTCCATGGAGCTACATGGTCTACACAGTCCTAACAAATTATACACTGATATTAAACATTCACTCCTATAGCTTGGCCATGGACAGTCAGGGCCTATCCAAGAAATTAAACTGCCAGACACACCAGCTAAGGCACTTTGGGTAAGATGGGGCTGCCTAGAGGAGGGGATACCAGAGAGAGGCTGGGAGCCAGGGACTCGCCTCTGGAGCAGCCTTTATCTGAGCCCAGTAATAGAAGCCATCTGGTTCCCTCCTGGCCAGGACCCGATCACCCGTATCTCCAGCTTTTGCCAGGCGGTCCGGCTGCTGCCATTCTGGGTCAGCAATGTGGATACATGGGTGACAGGAGGCACACCTGAAAGAAAGCAAAGAGAATTAGGGGTGGAGAACAGCAAGTCCTAAAAAGTACACAGATCAGAGCCAGTACTGTGATCTAGTGTGCTAAGCTGCTGCCTGCAATACCAGCATCTTCTAGGGGTGCCAGCTAGAGTCCTGGCTGTTCCACTTCCAATCCAGCTCCCTGCTAATGCACCTACGAAGATGGCCCATGTTCTAGAGCCCCTGCCACACATGTGGGAGACCTGGATAAGGTTTAGTCTCCTGGTTTCAGCACTGGCCGTTGTGGCCTTTTGCGGGAGTGTAACAGCAGATGGTCAATCTGTGTATGTTTGTGTGTAACCATGCCTTTTGAATAAACAAATCTTTATAAAACATGAAGAGCCACATCTCAGTCAGGTCTGAGAAGTGTCACAACGTGTGTGACACATACCAGAGTATGTGGGACAAAAATCCAGAGAAGGTAGAAATCTACGACTCTGGTTTGATGAGGTCAACTTCTGGGGAGGGGTGGGAAAGGGGATGACATAGGGACCCCTCCTCTGCAGGGTGGGGAACTGTTTCCAGCTAACTGAAAGTCATTAAGCCTGGATACAGACAAGCTCCTGCATGCTTGGCCTAGAACAACAGTCCAGCAAAGGGCGCTGGTGAGGCAGACCCTAAGGTGTGTCTGACTGCAGGGCAGCATGTGGACGCCAGGATGGCAGCTGACACAGCAAACTCAGGCCCGCAGGGATGAGGCCCTGTCACGGAAGGAGCTGCCCAATGGGCCACAGGACACAGAAGTCAGCTTTATTCTGGGAAGCTGTGTGGGCAGGGCCAGCTGCCTGGGGTACTTGTTGAGTCAGGGTTTGGGTTGACTTTGTGGGCAAGGCTGAAAACAAAGATGCCTAACTCTGAGCTTGAACAAGTTTGTCCACACAGGTGAACTGAGACAAGGGAGTGACTCAGGACCACTGAAGCTGGCAAGCCTGTGCCCTGGGCAGATGAAACAGCCCACTGGGCCCACACTGCACACCCGCTGCAGACACCCAATGGGGCCAGCCCCTGGGGAACTTCCTGGGACGGGTGAGGCTGCCTCTGGTCTCTGAGGGGGGTGGCAGGGCAGCAGAGAGGAGGGGAAGGGCCTGGACAGCCTACCTTAATTGTTGGTTGCAGGGGCTCTAATACCACTCATGGGGCCACAGCAGTCTCCTAGTTGGTGTTAAAGCTGCTAGAAATGCCAAAAGTGCTCCCCTCTGTCTGTTCTCTGGCCAATTAGCCAGCTGTGACAATTCCCTGCTGAGCGACCCAGTGGGAACAAGCCAGATCAACCCTGCAGTCACCCTGAGTAGCTTCAGCTCCTCACTTGCATCCACCGGCAGGCCCAATAGCAACAAGCACCCCTCTCTCCAGGGAAAAAAGGGGCTGCATCAAAGCACAAAGCCAGGGGCTGGGCCGCCTGCCTGGGGCGGAGTCAGTACCTCCTGAGAAGGCTGTGCCTGCTGAGCCAGGGTGCCGGGAGGGCACAGGGGCAGGTGAAGGTGAAGTCCCAGGGGTGCGCAGCACAGTCCCAGCCAGGAGCCTGCAGAATGGTGGCCACACTGCAGTATTTGGGCACAGGTGCTCCTGGCCCCGGGGAGTCCATGGAGTGCGAAGAATCACCTGGGAGTGAGCAAGGCCACGGTTACCTCAGCAGCCGCCCACAGGCCTTCAGAGGGCGCCCCGGAAGGCAGAGCCCCGGACCCACCGCCAAAGCTTCCTCTCGATCACCTCGGCTCAGGAAAGGGACCGGCCGGGGGAGTGGGAGGATGAGGGGGTGATGGAATATGCTCAAGGAGCTACAGCTGTCCTCAAAGAGGACCCAGCTGCAGATACTTCTGGGGCTACGGCCACCCACCCACGCAAACTCAGGAGGGAATGCATGCGAAGCATGTGGCACAATTTTCTTCCTCCCGCCTCCACCCCAGCCACAGCGACTCCTGCCATTAAAACGGTTCTTTCCCCGGGCCCCCGCCCCCACCTGCCACCTACAGGACTAACGGTGGCCCAGGGCCTGGCCTCCTCACCTGAGCAGGCCAGGAGCAGCAGACAGGAGTTAAAGGTCAAACGATGCTGCTCCAGCCCACTGACGCCCTCCCAGAGTCTGTTACAGCCCAACTCTACAATCTGACCCCCAAGGGACTCACCCACAGCCTCACACTCCTGACCACCACCTCCGCCTCAGGGCCCCTTCTGACCGTTGGGGCCCAGGGCTTCAGGCCAACTGATTTCCGGCTACTAAGCAGGTTGCCATGGATGCGAGCCAGCAGGGAACGCTGTGGGGCCAGCGAGCGCACTGAGCATGTGCAGAAGAAACAAATAAGGGGGAGTGGCACGCCCTCCATCTTTCCGTGTGAGGAAGATGAGGGCAGAGAAAGAAGAAGGCCAAACGCGGCCTCAAACTCCATGAGCATAGGCGGCCTCACTGTGGGTAGAGTCAGGATCTGGCTCACACTGGGAAGCCAAGGACCCCAGGGGTGCCCTGAGCCCTGAAGAGACCCCTGTAGGCTGTTGCTCTGCCTTAACGCTGACCAGGCAGGGAGCTGGCTGGGGAACTAAAAGTTGCTTGGCTGCAACTGAGAACAAACTGTCACCAAGTGGGGGTGTGCTTAGAGTAGGACTCCACTGAGGAGCAGAGTCGACCTTTGAGGTCCTGTGCGGGGGTGTCGTGTGTGAACCCTAGGTTCTGCGGTGTTTCCAACCTGTGTGGGAGGAGGCCGGTAGCCTGGGGCAGCTGAGAGTTCCTGAGCTGGTGTGGTGCCTGGCAGGAGGCTCTGTGGAGAAGCTCACACAATGTGAGTCTCAAGGTGACAACTAGGAACCAGTGTTCCTCTCATGTGTAACAAAGTTGAAGGAGCTTCTGAAAGCCATCCGCTGAAGCTGTCTCCAGAGACAGACCTGAAGAAAGCAGGTTCTGATTGTGTGGAGCTTGCTTGTTGTGAGTACCCATAAGCTTTTACTGATTTGCCAAATCAGATGGGGTCTGCATGACCCAAACTCTGAATGACTGCTTTGGCAGAGCCTACATCTGTAGCCCAAAGAACAGCTATGCCTAGACCATATGCCTGAAGACTGAACAATTTAGCATGCCAAGTTAGATTGTAAGACCAAGAAGTCTCAGGCAATGAAAGGATTATTCAATGAAGTGGAGAAAAGGAGAATGTTCCAGATTATTCAGGAAATAGGAGAGAAGGCAGCATTTGCAAGGCCATGATAATTCTTTTAGGAGTCCTGGGAAAATCAGGATGTGGATTTTTGAGTTGGCTACAGAGTGCAGGGAACTCTGAAAATCAAGCAACAAAGTAGGCAAAAGGGCATCTTCAGGTGGCTTGAGGGATGAGGTGGCACAGAGTGCTTTAAGAAGGATCAGAGTGAGCGGAGCTAGTTGAGGGCAGAGCCAGAAGGCAGGAGAGAGAGCAGATAGGAGCGGACGGGACAGCACAGGAGTCATCTTGGTGCTATGTGCTATGATCCAGAAGGCTTGAGGCTGTGCTGGATGCTAGGAATACAAGGTGAATGACAGTCCTTGGCCCTATACTTAAGACAGGGATGGCCAGCTCTGGTATGTAAAGATAGGAGGATCACAACTGCCAAGAAAGTAAGTATGCAAAATCAAGGAGCAGCCAGGACAGGATGCTAGGGTCAACTGCACAGAGATGTGACCTGTGTCACAGACCAGGGGAAGTTTTGAAATTGGTGACAGATGGCACCTCGGGGGGGTTGGGAGAAGGAGGAGGTGAAGCTACCTGGGGAATCAAACAGATGCTGTGAGGGCAGACCCAGGTCGGGGGTAGGGACTGTCTCCCAGGGGGGGAGGAAAGACCTAGCAGATGCACGCTCTGGTCTGAAAGAACTGGACAGTGGTGATGCTGTGGATGAAACACAATGATGTTGAGTAACAGTACTCAGAAGTAATGGTTAGAAACACCTGTGTGTCAGGCACTGTTACTCCTAATAGCACATGGGGAGCTGCTGCTCTTATTTTGTGAGTGAAGAACCAAGACTGCAGCAGACATGGCTGACCAATACTTCTATCGTAGGCAATGTTTGCTTCCTTCACCCCTAGGCCTGCACCACCCTGGGAGATCTGTCTGCAGGGACAAGGTGAGTCTGAAGTCACTTTAAATGACAACAAGGCTTTGTAAACAACTTTGAAGATGTTCTCTGATCATGACTTGTCAGCCCCAAATAAGTAAAAGCCACCAAACAGAAGCATCAAGGGAGGTTCATTGTGATTGTTTCACATCAAGTGTCTGCAAGGAGCCCAACCAGCCTGGGGGTGGTCACGTGTCAGACTGCAGTGCTGTGGTGGGAGCTTTGTCCAGGGCCTGGGCTAAGGCCAGAGAGTCCCGGGGCACCAGCTCCCCACAGGCTCTCAGAAGAAAGAGAAGCATCTGCCCAGGCTACATGAGCTAAAGCTTGGTACACCTGGAGCCCAGGCAAGAAATAACCTGGTGCAGGTGAGCGGCAGGACTATTATCTGCCGTGCAGAAAATATATGGGAAAAAACCATCGAACGAGGTTGTGAGAGACCCCATTCTGTGAAATTGCTCTTGTTTGGAAATCCTGAATCAGACAATTTTAAAAATAGGGTCCAGTTGGCAGCTGGAGGTTGCCACAATGGAAGTGCCAGTGCCCGGGCTATTCGTGGCGTTGGCTTTGTCAGGGTGCAGAAGAGACTGCAGGTGGTTGATGTACTTGATCGCTGCTCTCAGGGTTTCCACTTTGCTGAGTCGCTTCTCCAAATATTCCTCTGGCAGGTGAAGCCGGAGCTGGGCGTAGCCTTCGTTGACACACTTGACCCGCTGTCTTTCCCGCTCATTCCTTTTCCGGATGAAGGCCGGCCCGTAGGAGTAGTCACACCTTCTGTAACTTGGGTAAGGCATTGGGAAAGGCAAGGGGTAGGGTTCACCGTAGTTATCCATGAGTAGGGAGTCACCAGGAAAAGGCAGCCATGGCAGCTCCTCAGAGTAAGGGGATGGCCCCGGGGTCTCAGGGCACAGGTGGAAAGGGACCATAGGGTCCAGATAGAAGGACCTGCTCAGTGGTGAGTGGGCAGAAGTGGAGAAGGTGGGAAGTTTGTCTGGCGCATCAGGGTAGCTTCTATTTTCCATTATTTCCTCTTTAACCTGGAAACACAACTGAGTTCGTTAATTTGGCCACATCTAAAGAAAGCAGATATGAAGTACTAGCTTGATTGCTAGTTTCTGACCTCATTTTCAAAATTAGATGGGGTTACAGTATTTGGTGCCAAGCGTAGTGACATAATTTTAATGGTGCATTAAAAAAGATTAAATCACCTCGTGAGAAAGCTTTTTCCCATTTCTGTTAGTTTTCAATCCTTGTGACTGCAAAGAAGCCATTCTCTGGTGAGAATGTGTCTTCCTCACCACTAGAATGGTTTCTGAAGCCCCTTAAGTAAAGCCCTTCACCAAACCACAGACTTTAACATCTTTCATATGACTTCTGTTAATCATGAACTGTACTGACTCCACACTTAGAATACTGATATAAAGTTTCCCTGAAAAATGGGAGTTGATGAAAAAGTAACAGTGCAGGTGGGACACACAGCTGCCACTGACAGCCAAGGTGTATGCCAGGAGCTGGTCCAGGAGACACCCAGCTCACAGTTTTCCCATTGCTGCCAAAGCAAACATGAACTAGGGAACAGTCGTGCCGTCTCACAGACACAGCCCCCATAGGTGGTACCTGATCCGTCAGGGACAGAGCCCAAAATAAATACAGGAATTATCTGTTCCTAAATACAGAAGATTCCTTTTAGTGAACAACTCTCCAGAGATATTAAAAACATAATAGTGAATTTAGAAATTCTTACTTCTATGGAACTTATAAATAAAATGAAGAACACCTAATTTTAGGTTTTGTGAGTTTTGTTTGCATGGAACACAAGGAAAAAGCATCATGTCCCATCAAGTCCCACACTAATGAACAGTTCTTCCTCCTGGGTAGCTCCACAGCCATCTCGTTTTTAAAGCCCCCACTGCGTTTTGCCTTTGACCACCAGGATTCCAGGGCACTGTGGAGCACTTGGTCACCGGGAGGCAGGGAGTGCTGCAGAAGGGCTTGTCCCTCTCCGAGGGTCCAGCCTCACCCCGCTGCGCTCTGACTCCGGCTGCAGCTTCCCGCCTCTATGAACCTCAGCTTTTTCCTAAGTATTTTGCTGAGTGGTCGTGAGGATTAAATGACAAAACCAAACCAAAGCAAAACAGAACACACGAGGCACACCTTTAGTTCTCTCTCTTCACAGATGGAGGGTATGGTGAGGCCTTTCTCAACCACATCTGGTGTTTTCCCAGACGCTGGAGCATCAAGACAAGTTGAAGCTTGTCGAAATACGAAGAACCTTGCTTGGGAAAGGAGAAGTAACTTGAACTCTGTGGACCTTTGTGAAAGAAAGCAATGTGGCTGTTACTTTCTGAAGGTTATGGGTTTTCAATATCTTTAGGAGTAAGCTGTGTTATACACTTGGCATACTGAAAGAAGCAGCAAAACAAACAAAATTACTGCCCCTTCTCCCTCCCAACAGTCTAAAATTCACAGGTTAAGATTAGAGAGCAATGTCATTTGTTTGTCGACCAGAAGAGGGCGTAACTCCCGCAGGCCACACCAAGACAGAGGCCAGAGCCTCCCACCACATTTCAAGCGTGTTCCAATTCTTGTGAAACAGCCTATAGAGTTTGGCTTCTGAAAAGACAGGGGACCATAGACCCAGAAAAGGGCAGCAGAGTATGGGGGCAGAGGTGAGGAGTGGAAAGGACAAGAAAAATTCCTGGTGGAACTGGCTGGAAGGGAAGTTGATGCCAGGAAAATCTCTTCCTTGGACAGGGCAGATAAGTGGGAGAGATCCAATTAAACATGAAAACAGAGGAACAGGAAATGAGATTCCAAATGGCTAACCAAATGACCTAAAATAACCAACATAAAACAAAAATCTCTGCAAGGTTAAAAACAGCCAAGATTCTGTCAAAAAGAAAAAGTTGCTGAGAGAAACAAGTTAGGAAATTCCCAAGCCAGGAATTCTAGAGGGTAAAGCTATAAAGTGACGGCAGCTGTGGATGGAGCCTGCATCACTTCATTTCTCGGAACAGTGCAGCCTTCTCTTGGCCTGTAGCTAACAAGCCAGAACTGACACACTACAACAGATTACCAAAGAGCAAAGCAGATGTCATCAAAGCCAATTATATAATTCTTTGGGGTACGGTTTTATCCTGAAAGCTAACTTAAATAATGTCTTGAAATCTTGGCCCAGCTGGGATCTGAATAATTTGTCTATGCCACAGCTAATTAAAAGTTTCTAGATTTTACCCAGCCTTTGCATAATTCTTGGGAAAAGAGCACTGTGTCTTTGGAGACACACTGACGAGATTTCTCATTGAGCACTCCCAGTAAGCTCACTAATCAATGTAGCAGTATTTAAATATGACTACGCCATGAGGAGAATCCAGATAGGAAGATAGGGGGAAGTCTGGACATTTTTGTAGAAATTTAGTAACTTTTTAAAACAATTCAGGTTGTTAGTGCTGGAGCACGTGTTTCGAGAAATAGGCACAACTAACAAGCATATTTACCCTGAGAAAATCTCAGGTTTCTATTGTAGAGGCTTCATGGAAAGTCCTGAGAGCTTCTGGATGCTCTATAGAGCATAAAAGCTTCAACTTTCCGAGATAAAAAGAACTAGTCTGTAAAACACACAATTGCCTCTGCACCCATACATGAATTGTGGCACGTTAGAGTGGAGAGAAGTTTAGAAACCCTCTTCTCAAAACCCCCACAGGTTACTAATGGCACAGAGCTTGTAAAAGAACGAGCCAGAACCCAGGTGTCCCAAATCTCTTCATGCCCAGAGATGACTTCATCAGCTGCAGAATCTGCATTTTCACCCCAAGGGCAGGGCTTGATAGTTCAATAATCAGACAGCTGACAAAAATTTCACCACAGATCACCTGTGCCTAGAGATTTTCTAACAAATCGTGTTCTTTCCATTCTCCTTCTCCCCTCTCCCACCTCCCCCCTCCTTGCAGAAGTGTCTCTTACCTGAATCTTGTCGTCAGGATGCTGTATTGTGGCTGAGTCAGACTTTACCTGATTTATAGGGAAATCATTTAATAATATGCAAAGTAGCTTACAGTTAAACAAAACTGCTCAGTTCTGGTTTAGCCATGTTTTTTCACTTAGTATGTAGATACGACAATACATAACAATGCTAACAAGCAAGGTTTGCTTACAAAACTGCACACTTGTAACAGATCCTTTCGTTTAAAGAATGTCTACCTAGCCTTCTTGCATTCCTCTGCTTTACATGATTTTATAGCAAAAGTATTTACGGACAGTCTCTTTAAAAAACAGTCACGTAATGTGCAAATGTTGGTAAATATTCTTTTAGGCAGACAGATTAGTGTCCCAGGAAGACTGATATGAATTGAGATACTTTTTTGTTTGTTTGTTTTAGTACTCATTTCTTTTGTCCCTGAGCAAAATGTACATAGTTCCCATAAACCAATCGTTCCTTGCACATGCAATGACTCCTCTACCTTCCGGGGCCACAGTGGTAACTTGGTCACAACTGATGAATCTGCATTGTCACATCATTATCACCCAAAGCCCATAGATTATATTATGAGCCATTCTTGATGTTACATGTTCATATTCATTAGATTTGACAAGTGTATGATACATATCTACCTTTACAGTATCATACAGAAGTTTCCCAATCTGAAACACCTCTGGGCTCTGCCCCCCTTGCTCCTAGCAGTCGTTGATCTGAATAATTTTGCCTTTTCCAGAATGCTGCATGGTTGAAACCATATAGTTTGTAGCCGTTTCAGATTGGCTTCTTTCACTTAGCTTTAAAAGTTTATTTTTAATGAACAGTACTTCATTGTATGAATGTACCACAATTTCTACATTCACCTACTGAAGTGTTATCTTGGTTGCTTCAAAATGTTTGCAATTATGACAATTTAAATACAAATATTAAAAAATTTAAAAATATATTAAAATTATATTTAAATATTAAAAACAGGTTTTTGCATGGGCACATGACTTCAGCTTCTCTGAATAATTATCTTGGTGGTTGATGGCCGAATCACATAGTAAAACTATGTTTAGTCTTGTCTGAAACTGTTAAACATTCAAAGAATGCTATACCATTTTGTGTTTCCAACTTCCTGTCACTCCACACCCTCATGAGCATTTAGTATTGTCAGTGTCCTGGCATAATTTTCTGGGATTTTGGTTAGGATTGTTGATCGATAAATCAAGCTGGCATTTTAATAGGCATGGAATAGAATTCCTTTGTTGCTTTCATCCGCAATTCCCTGATGACACATGCTGTGGATTGCTGTTTCATATTGTATATATGCCGTTAGTGTTTCTTTGGTAAGGTGCTCACTTAGGACTTTGGTCCATTTTAAGGTGTTTTCTGTGTATTTTAGATAACAATCTTTTATGATATGTCTTTTATATTTTCCCTGGGTAATTTCTTCATCCTCTGGACAGTGTCTTTTACAGAAGTTTTACATTTTCAGCTTAACAATGATTCCCCTCAAAGATTATTTTTCCATGTGGCATAAAAAATTCATCACCATTAGTGTTTCTTATATTCTCTTTCAGAGATTGTACAGGGTTGCTTCTTACATTTATGCCTATGATCCATTTTGGGTTAATTTTTCTGAGCAGTATAAGATCTGTGTCTATATTATTATTTTGCATATGATTGTTGAATTGCTCCAGTACCATTTTTTGAAAAACTTTTCTCCATTTTAAAAAAAGATTTATTTTTATTGGAAAGGCAGATCTGCAGAGAGGAGACAAAGATCTGTCACTGGATCATTCCCCAACTGGCCGCAATGGCCAGAGCTGAGCTGATCTGAAGCCAGGAGCCAGGAGTTTCTTTTCTGTCTCCCATGCAGATGCAGGATCCCAAGGCTTTGGGCTGTCTTCCTCTGCTTTCCCAGGCCACAGGCAGGGAGCTAGATGGGAAGTGGAGCAGCCAGGACACAAACCAGTGCCCATATGAGATCCTGGCACATTCAAGGGATTTAGACACAGAGCCATTGTACCAGGTCCCTCCATTTTATTCTTTTTGCTCCTTTGTTGAAGATCAATTGACAATAATTAGGTCCACTTCTGAGCTCTGTTCTGGTGCCACTGCAGTATTTGTCTTTTATTTGAGTTACAGAGAGAGTGAGAGAGTGAGAGAGTGAGAGAGAGAGAGAACCTCTATCCGCTAGTTCACTCCCCAGATAGTTGTAACCCCAGGACTAGGTCAGGCCACAGCTATGAATTTCATCCAGGTCTCTTGTGGATGGCGGGAGCCCACGTAGGCCATCTCCTGTTGATTTTCCCAGGCCGTTAGCAGAGCACTGGGTTGGAAGTAGAGCAGCTGGGACAAGAACTAGCTGTTGGTGTTGCAGACAGCAGATTTATCTGATCCCTACTTATCCATTCTTTTGATGTTACACTGTCTTGATTACTGCTGCTTAATACTAATTCTTGAAGTTGTACAGTGTCAGTCCTCTGACTTTACTGCTGTCTCTCCTTCTCTAAATCTTTCAAATAAAAATAAGTAATTCTTAAAATAATATTTATTTGTAAAGACAAAGTTAGAGAAATAGAGAGAGGTCTTCCATATGCTGATTCACTCCTCAAATGGCAGTAATGACCAAGGTTAGACCAGGCTAAAGCCAGGATCCAGAAGCTTCTTCCAGGTCTCCCATGTATGTGCAAGGGTCCTATGTGACAGCACTGGCCTCTTGTTTAATGTTGATTATTCTGGGTCTTTGGCATTTCCATATATTCTTTTGAATAAGTTTATCCACAAAAATAATTTTCTGGGATTTTGGTTAGGATTGTTGATCGATAAATTAAGCTGGTAAGAACTGATATTTTAACAATATTGAGCCTTACTATCCATGATCATAGAAATCTCTAGTTTTTATGTCTTTAATCAGAGTTTTCTAGTTTTCTTTTTGTACCTCTTACACATATTTCATTTTGAGAGAGCTACTAATACAAATGGTATCTTGATTTTCAAATTCTACTGTTCACTGGTGAAATATAGAAAAATAATTGAGTTTGGCATATTAATCTTGCTTCCTGAAACTTAATTAGGATCACTTCTTAGGGTGAGAAATTTGGTTTTGTCCATTTTTAAAAAATTATGTCATCTGTAAACAATCTTCTTTCCCAATCTTTGCACCTTTAATTTCCTTTTGTTTTACTGCGTATACTAGAGCTTCCTATACATTTCATGTGAGTGATGAGATAGGATCTGTTCTTTGCTTTGATTTTCTAAAAAAGATTTATTTATTATAATAAAAACCATTTATTTATTATAAGAATTATTTATTATAATAAATAATTACAATAAAATTATGTTTATTATAATAAAGTTTTATTTATTTACTAGAAAGTCAGATATACAGAGAGGAGGAGAGACAGAGAGGAAGATCTTCCGTCCGATGATTCACTCCCCAAGTGAGCGCAACGGCCGATGCTATGCCGATCCGAAGCCAGGATCCAGGAACTTCTTCCGTGTATCCCACACGGGTGCAGGGTCCCAAAGTTTTGGGTCATCCTCGACTGCTTTCCCAGGCTACAAGCAGGGAGCTGGATGGGAAGTGGAGCTGTTGGGACTAGATCTGGCACCCATATGGGATCCTGGCGCATTCAAGGCAAGGACTTTAGCTGCTAGGGCACCGTGCTAGGCCCCTTTACTTTGATCTTACAGGAAGTTTTTAGTTTCTTATCATTAAAGGTAACATTAGTTATATATATATATGGTCTTTATCCACTACTTAAGGAAATTCTCTTCTCTTCCTAGTTTGCTGAAAGTTTTTGTCATGAAGATATTGGATGTTTTCCTGCCTCTGTTAGTTAATCTGATCATGTGGTTTTTCTTCTTTAGATTTGAAAGATTGCCATTTTAAAGTATTGACCTAATTGCAAATCCCCATGATTAATCTTACTTGGTCAGGGTTGAGCCTAATTCTTTTCAATTAATAAAAACTATTTTATGAACTTAATTGACATCAAACCCTTTTTTTTTTTTTTTTTTTTTTTTGCTGCTAACAGCTCCTAAAATCTCATCCCTATTCACTTAAAATATTTAAACACAATCTTCCAAGGTTTTTGTAGGGTAAGAATTCCTTAAGAATTTTGTCTCTTAATTTATCAGAATGATAGTTTCATACTTTTCAGAGACCTAAGAATTTATACATTCTCTCTGCATATGCACATAAATTTAGCATTGATGTTTCTGATTAGACTTATGTGAAGCACCACTGTGGAGGTTTGGATTATCAAATTTACCATCAGCAAAGGAGAAGAAGAAAAATCTAGATTTCGTAGATACATTAATATGTGTTTCAAGATTGTTTTTATTATTACATTCCAAAGAGGACATAGGAAGAAAACGTCAATTATCCAACAACTGCTATATCCTTTCAAAAAAGGCACCCAGAATTCCAATCCTGGTTCAAAGCTGCACACACTGGAGGTCGAGCAGCTGCCTCTATGACCAGAAATGCGAACAAATATGTGTATGTTAGCAATCCAAGGAGGCTTGGGTTTAAAAGAAAACTTCTTTATTGCAAGTATCCAGGTCCTTAAGATTTGTCCTTAAAAATACTTGAACAAGATGAGGACGACCACACACATCAAGACTATGAGTCATTAGAGTAAACTAGCAAATAGCCAGTTCTGAGATGCACTGCATCATACATCACAGTACATGAGGAGAATCTGCATTTTGTGAAGAGCCACCAGGCATTTCAGAGCCAGTTTACCATGAAGTTCAGTCACGGGCCAACCAGATACCTAGATAATATAGTCAGTGCAAAAGTCAGTTGAGTAAGTCAGCATTTTGATGAGGCTGGCTACACTGCAAAATACAAACGAAACTTGAAAACAGGAGGTAAGGACTATTTACAAAAGCTTGTTTAGGAAAGTGACTTGAGAAAAGCTGTGTGAAGCACTTCCCACACATCCCTTCTTTCTGCAAAAAGCAAACAAAAACCCAGAAAATCATCTGAAAAACCAAGTTAAAACAGTGTAGTGAAAAAGACAGTGCTTGTTCCAGGTAAAGAATTTTAAGATAACTATCAGAAAGGTTTGTTTTTATTAGTAAAAGTCACAGTAGTAAAAGGTTTATTAGCTGACTTTGAAGTGTGTGCTTTTAAAAAGTCCCTTTAATACGTTGACAGGGGGAAAAAATACCAAGCATATTTTGCTTCCAATTTTGAGTCTTCGGTGAGAGTTGGTGAGATCAAAAAGGGCATTAAAACAAAACCCAGGAAAACTCAGTCAGTTCTTTCCAATTGTCTGTTTTGTTACTTTCTAGTCACTTTGAATTCACGTCCCAATTAGCTGAGGACAACATGTCGGTCAAAGACAGATTTTCGTTGCTCTTGGACTTGAAGTTTCCAGCGCTGCTGGGCATACTCTACCTTGTTCAGAACATTGGCTCGGCTGCGGGAACGGGCCAGCACATCGTGGGCATTTGCAAAAGGCTGGTGATCCTAAAAGTCGGAGAAGAGAGAACATCAGAAATGATGCAGTCAGTGTAAAACATACTTACACACAGAACCATCTGTCTCAGTAACTTTCAGCAAATAAACACATCTTTAAAAAAAAAAGAGGCATCCCTGATTAGCAGGTGAAGAACATCTATAGTATCTCCGTGTTATAGATATACAAAGTATGGTTTTGGCTGACTTTATTCAATACTATATAACTAATCTGTGGCAGAGGAAATATTGTTTAATTTCCCAGCTCCCACTATACTGGAATTGTTTAGAAAAGAAAAGAAAGGAGAAGGAAAGAGACAGCTCAAGTACTACAATCACCCTCTCTCATCAAGGACAGTAAAGAATTCTTTACTTCAGTACATCTCTATACAACAAACACTTGACTCTCTCACTGTTGAGCACGCAGTGGCTCCGGTATTAACTGCTGCCTTAGCCAGGAGGCCACTGCACGGGTGCACAGGTGTCTGTGTGGAAAGCCAACCTATCCAGCTCAAAACAAACCAATGCAACTGCACGTTTGTCGTCATTACAGAGGAAATCACCGTTCCTATCTATAAATGAGACACAAATACAGCTGTCTAAATGACAGACAGCATTCAATGGTAATTTATTACTTTTGTTTGCTTTCTCCTTGATCCCTTTGTTCCTGAACATTGTGTTAGTAAAACGATTAAGTAGTCCAACACAAGATCCAAGTCACAAGTCATATCACTTAAACTAAGATTTGCCTTTAGAGGGGAAAAAAAAAACATTGTTTTAGTGTGCTTGTCATAGAAAAACTTTATTGTATGTGCAGGGTGGGAGTCAGCACGTTTGTGGGAAGCTATGCCTAGCTTCATGACCATATATGTGATTATAATTACATGGTATTATAACACCTGGTTTTAACAATGAACTATGAATTGTCTCAATTTTCAAAGAGCTGTTCTTGTTCTTTTTACTTTTTTAGAAAATTAATTCATTTTTATTGGAAAGTCAGATTTATAGAGAGAAAGATCTTCTATCCATTGGTTCACTCACCAAGTGGCAGCAATAGCCAGAGCTGAGCTGAGCTGAAGCCAGGAGGCTGGAGCTTCTTCCAGGTCTCCCATATGGGTGTAGGGTCCCAAGGTTTTGGGCCATCCTTCACTGCTTTCCCAAGCCACAAGCAGGGAGCTGGCACATGGGATCCCAGTGCATGCAAGACAATAACTTTAGCCACTATGCTGCTATGCTGGACCCAATATTGATTCTTTGAAAGAAAGAATGACAAAGATGGAGAGGCACAGCAGGAGACCTTTCTTCTGCTGGCTCACTCCCCCAAAGCCTGTGAAAGGCAGGGCAATGAGAGGAGTGAGCAACTCCGTTCGTTGTCCCACACAGAAGGCAAGAACCTAAGTCTTTGGACCATCATCTTCTGCCTCTCAGGTGCATTAGCAGGAATACTGGCTCAGAAGCAGCATAGTGCGGACTCTGACATGCAATGCGGTATCCCATGAGACACCTTAACTCAATGTGCCACACTGCCTGAAGCTCACACAGTTGGCTATGAAGAATCACTTCTTGCCTTCTTTGCCAAAATTTCCTTTTCACTCAATTTAAGTAATGGCTGAATATTTTTTTTAACCTTACAAATGAAAATAATAAAGATAATTCCACAAATTTCAAATATTTCAAAGATAGAAGAAAGAAGGTAAGGAGCAAGGATGGCTCAAGTTTAGGATTACTTGATTTTCTATAAGGAAATACACCAACCCAAGGTCATTTAGCACAAACAAAACTATGCCTAACCTTGATCTGATATTCTAGCTTCCGAAGGCACAGTTTGTGTTCAGGTAGATTAAAATGCCACTATAGAAATATGGTGCCTCAATGGATTTGTATATAAAACATTATTACCACTGGTTTGTTTTGGTATCAACAAGGCTGAGAGGAGGGATGGACTCTATCAGCTGGGCACCTATCAGGTTCGTAGTTCTGTTATCTATTTTTTAAGCTAGTGAGAGAAAAATCTTCTTAAGGAACAAGCTCAAAAGCCTAAACAAACCAGTTAATCCTTTTGGTCTGTTCTACACATATTAGAACAAGACTGAACTGGTTTGCTCATGGTCAAGGATGCTGAAAGAATGCAGAGATTTGCCCTTTTATATGTTTATTCTTTTTACACCTGATAAAATTACAATAAATACAAAACATGTTTTAATGTAATGCTTTGATAATAATGATGATGTGTCCTGGATATGTGATACAGTAAATATTTTGACTACTTGCAGGGAGCTCCTTAACTATTTGTACTAACTTACTTGATTTTAAATGAATGAAAAAAAAATTAGGATTTAATATTTCTAAACTAAATTTAATTTCCATTTAGATGGAGCTTTTAGTGTAAACTCACATCTCTGGTCAGAAAATCTCTGATCAGCATCAGTTTAACAGATAGCCAAGAGTCAGGCTTTTCACCCCATCTCAGCCAAAAGGCCAAGAAGTGATGCCAGGGCACTCTAGCTCAATGCACATGCAGGAACAATCACTGGTTTGCAGAACAGTTCCTGAGCACCTGCCCTCACAATCAGGGGCCTGACCCACAGGGACTTGCCTACGCAGTTCAGATCCATCATTTTAGTTTGCACACATGTCAATGCCGTTTCAAAAATCAAAACCAGATACGCAGGTTGTAAAGATGTGGGTAAAGTCAGACTTTTCAACCTAAGTGCCTATAATGAAAATGGTTTAAGTGGCCTTGGAATCACACTTTTCATTTATCAACAGTTGGGGCAGTTGTGCTTCCTAGGGACATCTGGCAATGTGAACGGACAGTTCTTCCTGCCATGGCTAGGCTGTAAGTGAGATGGGGGTGGGGAGCAGGAGGATGCTGCTGGTACATGGTGGACAATCAGATGTTGCTAAGTGGGAAGGAACTTCAATAAGTTCATGGGAGAATGGAAGTTAAGACTGGTTTGTTTGTGGACAGGAAATTTTGAAATTCATGCATAGTTTTTTTTTTAAAAGATGCATTTTCCACCAACTTTTTGAAGTACGTTTATCTCACAATGAACAGGAAACCTCCCCACAAACCTCCAACAAAGAAATACTTAATCTAAAATGTCTGTAATGTCAAGGTTAAAAAATCCTGAAAATGCAAATGAAAATTAACAGGGAAACAGCATTTAAGACTCTAATGCTTTCGGGGCACAAACTCCAGTCCTTCTAGCTCTCTCTTCCATGGTAGCCCTCTAAGCAGTCTTCTAAAATAAATGTTTCTTAAACGATTCCAAATAAAAAGGGAACTGCACTACTGTCAATCCTTTCTTTTACAGGCTTGTTTTTGTTTTTCTTTTATTTATCTCTTTATATTCTCAGTACCCAAAATAGTACCAGGTATAGAAAAGTTAAGCCATTATGTGCTGGATGAATTAATATAAGGAGCAAGGGAAAAGAAGCAAACACAGGTGTTTCTACGACAACTCTTAACCAAAAAATTTAAGATCTCGCTCAAAAGTTGAGTATTCTTAACTGATGTTCATGAAACACCATGTATTCATCAAAGAGTAGGCTCTGATAATTGTCATGACCCAAACATCCAGTCAGAATCACCTCCCTATCCTTTTAAAAAAATTTTTAAATGTTATTTTTATTTGAAAGGCAGACTTAGAGAGAGAGAAGGACAGAAATCTTCTGTCTGCTGACTCACTTCCCAAATGGCCACAACCGCTGGAACTGAGCTGATCTGAAGCCAAGAGCCAGGAGGCAGCAGGGTTTGAGACACCTGTGCCATCTTCTGCTGCTTTCCCTGACATATTATCAGGGAGCTGCATTACAAATGGAGCAGCTGGGACTCACCCACATAGGATGCCAGTGCCACTGGAGGAGGCTTAGTGCCACAATGCTGCCTCTCCCAGCTCTTACCATTAGACACCCAAGCCATTCTAGAGAAAAATGGTTTTTGACATGATTGAAAAGAGTTCATGCTGGATTTGGCTTTTGGAGTTGATTCTTGAGACTATACTTAATTCTATCCTCTTTAAGGAATATAGCCCAATAAAATAATCCAAAAGAAAATGTAATTTCTATGGGGCTGACATAGCAAAATAGCGGGCTAAGCCACTGTCTGCAGTGTTGGCATCCAATATGGGTGCTAATTTGAGTCCCAGGTGTTCTACTTCCTATTCAGTTCCCTGCTAACGCACCTTGAAAAGCAGCTGAGGATGGCCTAACGAGTTGGGCACTTCCATCCACCTGGAAGACTTGGAAGTAGCTCCTGGCTCCTGGCTTCAGCCTGGCTCATCCCCAGCCATCGTGGCCATTTGAGGAGCAAACCAGCAGATAGAAGACCTCTCTTTATTTTCTTCTTGCTCTGTAACTCTGCCTTTCAAATAGCAAATAAATCTTTCTTTCTTTTAAATAAAAACCAATTTCTTAAGAAATATAATAATAAAGTAATGGAAATTCAGAAACAATCCCAAACAGGACAAGGATAAAACAGACAATGTGCTGTTCTAAGTGATCAGGAAAAACAAGTTTGTGGACTATGTGATTTCTCAACATAGTCTAGAATGAAGAAATAGGAAAACAAAATGGAGACCATGAAACTATTAACACATCCATTATACCAACTATAAGTACAAATAAAAATGTATTTTAAAGTTAAGAAGAGTAAAATGATTTTTTTTTTTGAGTGAAAGAAAAAACAAGTTTCATTAGGCAGGAGGAACAAAGGGAATACAAACATTTATCAGATTATCACGTTGTAGTTTATAAAGAAAAGAATATCATGGTCTTCATGCTCTTCCTTCCACTAAAGCCTCCTTGCCAACATGTGGTGATATTGACAGAAGGCACTGCAGACAAAGGCTGCCCTCGATGCGTTTCTCCCTGTAAACAGCCCCCTTTCCCAAGGATCCCCAGTTTAAACTGCGACACTTAGAGCTCTGCAGAAGGAAAGGGATGTGTATTATAAGAACTGGTTTTGGTTTTGCTCGGGGTTCTGCCCCAGTGCTTAACATCTACAAGTGACTACTTGTCACTTGTATTTTATGCCATGTGTTGACAGAGACTGGCCCAGAGCAGCCAGGGCAGGCTGAGAACTTACCCCAATGTCCTCCTCGCTCTGTATCAACTGTGAGTGTCCGAAGAGGCGCCTCTTCAGTATGGGCTCCACCAGAGTAAGATATACCATGTACAGAAGCAGAAGGCCCAAAATGGACAGATAAATTATAATGGTAACCTAAAGGAAATTGACATCAAGTCATATCACTGTTCAAGCCAGGAATCAGAATTTCGTGCAAAGCTAATAAAATCACAGTGAAGACTGATGTGTTTGCAAGGCAGCCTAGATTTCTATGCAAACCAGATTCCAATGTAAGGAACAAGCCCAACCCCTCAGCAAAGTATCATTTTTAAAAAAGAAGAAAGCATTTGCTTTGGAGAGCTTTCTGAAGGTCTTCAAAAACCTTATCCTTACCATTGCTAATCACATGTCACCACTACTGGCCAGCAAACAGAGTTTTTAAAAAACTGAACAGAGCATCCTACATTCAGCATTGTTGTTGAAACAAATTAAAGGAACCCTAATAGAAAATGCGATTCACATCAACATCAACAAGGTACTCTTTTAGATCGACTAAGAAATACAAAATACTTGTGAAAACATTGGTTTTCTGGGGGTGTTCATTTGTGTGCTAAAATGTACAGTGTGACACATCACTGGATTAGATAGATACACAAGTGTTGACAAGGATGTGGGGAAACAGGATCCTCCTCACTGCTGGTAGGAATGGAAAATGGTAGAACTGCTTTGGAGAACAATCTAGCAGTATCTTAAAAAGGAAAACATAAAATTACCACATTAAGGAATTTACGAAGAAAAAAGAGGACACATATCCACATAAATACAAGTAAAAGATATTTGGGCCCAGCGGTGTGGCCTAGCGGCTGGGGTCCTCGCCTTGAACGCACCGGGATTCCATACAGGCACCAGTTCTAATCCCAGCTGCACCACTTCACATCCAGCTTCCTGCTTGTGGCCTGGGAAAGCAGTCGAGGACGGCCCAAAGCTTTGGGACCCTACACCTGTGTGGGAGACCCAGAAGAGGTTCCTAGATCCTGGCTTCAGACAGGCTCAGCTCCAGCTGTTGTGGTGAGTTGGGGAGTGAATCATCAGATGGAAGATCTTTCTCTCTGTCTCTCCTCCTCTCTGTATATCTGACTTTGTAATAAAAATAAATAAATCTTTAAAAAAAAAAACCCACAAAAAAACAAGTGAAAGATATTCGTGACAGTGGTGCTCATTATAGCAAAAAAAAAAAAACTAGAAGTAATCCAAGTGTCTATCAGCTGATGAATGGATATTCATATATTAGAATATTATTCAATAAAACTGGATAAAGTATTAATATATACTAAAACTTGGGCAAACATTAAAAACAATATACTTAGTGAAAGACCAGTCATGGGAGATCATGTGTTACACGATTGTATTCATAGGAATGCTCAGCCGTGTAGGCACAGATATTACAATAGTGATTATCTAGAGCTGGGTGTAGGAATCGGATTTAATCATAAATGGGCATGAAAGTTTTAAAACAAGTAGTTTTAGGGGCCGGCACGATGGCGCAGTAGTTAAGGTCCTCACCTTGCACGCCAGGGATCCCATATGGGCGCTGGTTCTAATCTCAGCTAGCCCCGCTTCCCATCTGGCTCCCTGCTTGTGGCCTGCGGGGGCGGTCGGGGACGGCCCAGAGCTTTGGGACCCTGCACCCGTCTGTGATACCCGAAGAGGCTCCTGGCTTTGGACTGGCTCAGCTCCAGCAGTTGTGGCCACCTGGGGAGTGAATCATCGGATGGAGGATCTTCCTCTCTGTCTCTCCTCTCTGTATATCCGCCTTTCCAATAAAAATAAAATAAATCTTAACAAAACAAAACAAATAAACAAACAAACAAACAAAAATAAAACAAGTAGTTTTAGAAAAGCTATTTTAAGGGGGTAGGGAGCTGGAAGAGAAAGAGAAGAAATCAGGTGTATGTGCCTGTTATCTGCTTTGATGCTGCACGACATGCCGCGGTTCATTTTCCTGCATTACTATGAATACAAAAATACTATGTTACAAAACAGCAGGTTATATACGTAGCTTTCATCTTATTTTACAACTGCAAAATATGTAAATTTGTAGAGTTAAACATTTTAACTACTCTGTGCCTATCAATTATTACATCAGGTCAAAGCCTCTCTTTAAGACTTGATTTCAATCTGGGTTATATGCAAGTAGTTAAGACACTTTCATAGTTTGCACAAAGTGTAATGATCCAGCTAACTGGATGTTAGTTTCTGAAACCTGAAGTGTTTTTGAACAAACTTGTCTGTTCGTTCCTGTTAGGATTCCTTCCTCTCATAAATACTAGTTTCATTTAGATGGCTAGAACTAAACAAAATCTTTTCTCTGCCTTAAAAAATAAGCTGTTTTATTATTTTTATTTTTTTAAAAAAATAAAAATTAATTTATTTTTATTGGAGAGGCAGATTTATAAAAGGTCTACTGTCTGTTGGTTCACTCCCCAAGTGCAAAAACCTGAGCTGAGCCGATTCAAACCCAGGAGCCAGCAGCTTTTTCCAGGTTTCCCTGCGAGAGCAAGATCCCAAGGCCTTTGGCCATGCTCTATTGCTTTCCCAGGCCACAAGCAGGGATCTGGATGGGAAGTGGAGAGGCCAGGACATGAACTGGTGCCCATACAGGATCCTGGTGCATGCAAAGCGAGAATTAAGCCACTGAGCCATCATGCCGGGTACAGCTGTTTTAAATGTACTGAAACTTATGCAACTGCACAATTACAAGTGATTCATAGTGGGGATGGCACAATGGCTCAACTAGCTAATCCTCTATCCCCAAGTGCTGGCATCCACATGAGTGCTGGTTCGTGTCCTGGGTGCCTAGGAGGTAGAAGGCTTCAATCCTGTGAGCTAAGCAGGAGACCCGGATGTAGTTTCTGGCTCCTGGCTTTGACCTGGCCTAGCCCTGGATGTTGTAGGCATTTGGAAAGTGAACCAGCATCTGGAAAAGTTTTCTTGTTTTTTCTCATCCTCTCTGTTGCTTTGCTTTTCAAGTAAATACTTTTTTTCAAAAATATAAAAACTATCAAGAGAATTTCTCTATAATACAAAAGCTCTCCCACAGAAATCTTTGTGATTGATATAACTAACCACCCCAGATTTCCCAGAAGGTATTTTTACATAAAAGGAATGGAAAGTGCCGTGCAGAAAGGTCTGGGACAAAAATAAGCCACCATAATAAAGTAACTGAAACCATCAGTGATCCAAATGGTGGTAAGAGTTATCTACTTTCCATTTCCTCCAGGAAATAAAGAAGGAGAATTTTAAAATCCAGAGGTGATATTTCTAGAATAGTTACTATATATTGAATTATTTTCTTTCTTTTCTACTCTCTTTTTTTAAAGATTTATTTATTTCTATTGGGAAGATAGTAGGAAGACAGACAAGTAGAAAAATCTTCCATTTGCTGTTTCACTCTGTACAGGGCCACAATGGTCGCAAGGCTTTGGGCTATGCTATGTTGCTTTGCCAGGCAATAAGCATGGAGTGGATGGGAAGTAGAGCACCCAGGACATGAACTTGCACCTATATGGGACGCTGGAGCTTGCAGATGGAGGATTAGCCAGATGAGCCATCATGATGCCTGACCCTAATTCTTTTTCCTATCTTTCTTTACTTTTCTTTCTTTCTTTTTAAGCTTTATTTATTGTCACTCAAAAGACAGATTTACAGACGGAAGGAGAGACAGAGAGAAAGATCTTTGACCCACTGGTTCACTCCCTAAATGGCTGCAATGGCTGGAGCTGAGCCAGTCAAAGCCAGGAACCAGAATTCCCCACGCGGGTACAGGGTCCCAAGCCTTTGAGTTGTCCCCAATTGCTTTCCCAGGCCACAGGCAGGGAGCTGGATGGGAAGTGGAGCAGCTGGGACATGAATCAATGCCGATATGGGATGCTGGCACTTGGGGGTGGAGCATGAGCCAATAGAGACACTACACCAGTCCCTAATTCTTTTCAAAGTGCTGAGAGGACAGGGAGAAAGGGTCTTACTCAGGCTGTTCTCACAAGACTTTTGTTTACACACAAAAGAAGCCAGAGTATTCTTCTGTAATATACTAATTACCCAGAGGGCGTTTCTGTGCCTTCTCATGTCTTTGTTTAACAAATTCTAATCAGTCCACAGAGCATCTCAGTGAAGCTGGCCCACACTTCTTCTGGGACAGGGGTCCAGAATTTCCCATCATCTTGTCTAGGGATTACTCAGAAAAAGATATATACACATATATTTTTTTACCTTGATTGTAACAGAACTTCTTTCCTCATATTTACATTCACAGCGTAGACAGTACGCTTCTACATCGGGGCCCCGCACAGGCATGGGCTCCACAACATGAAGGCAGTCACTGGAAAAGCCAAGAGAAACGATTACTTAAGCTTGGTTATACTTTCTATTTGAATTGATCAACTCCTTTCTGAAGTTTAGAATATTCACTGAGTATACCTAATGGAGGAATGTAAGGAAGAAATGATAAATAATGCAAAGTGAAGTAATTTCCTCTCAGCGTTAGCACTTTGTTATAATTTAACAGTCTAAGAAGCCCTAAAGGCAAGGACCTGCTCTCTATCTCCAGATAGCTACTATTAAAGATCTATAAATGCATTTGGAAATCCTAAATGCGATCAAAGCTACTTAACAAATCAAGTTAGATGTAGGCTCAAGTTATGAATATTTCTCACCAAACAAAATTATGATACCTGCTTTAAAGTGGCGGGGAACACTATTCAAATATGAGATTATTTCCTCTGTGAATTAGCCATCATTCCTAACTGTCACAGTATGTCTCATGATCTGCTTATCACACTTAACAGCATGGTGCATTCTGAAATCCTAAACACCGAACACACTAAGAAAAAAAACCCAAATTTTCCTTAATGGGTAAAATTTTATTGGAAAAGCAAGAACAAACAGTATTGGGACAATAAAACAATTTTAAAAATGAAAACTGATTACCCTGAAAAAAATATTTTTAACAAGATAAAAAAGAATGATTTTGTTGTTGTAAGATAGTGTTTATTGTTTATGCTACCTGCTTTCTAGTCTACTTATGTTTTATATTTTAAAAAAGTAGCATCATCAAAAAAAAAAATCGTTTCCCAGAAATCTGCCAATTCCAATAGATACTTTAATCCTAAGTCTCCTCAGGTCCTGGTGGTCTGCCACTCCAACTGCCAACAACACAGAGTGGGGTTTCCTGTCCTGAAGATGGCTTAGCAGCTCCCTGCCCTCTGGCCTCTCTTCCGCAGGTGGCAGGTGTTTCTTGTGGCCTAAGGTCTACCCCAGGGCCTGCCCAAGCAGCCCATTCCCCTAAGATGCTCCCGGGCTCCAGGCTTCTTCCTGCCTCCTGAAAAGGCACTTTTTTGGGGGGGCTTTGCTTCCTCTGAATTGTGGCATTAGAAGGAAAATCCAAAATGGCACCAATGATGAAATCTCAGTTATCCTTAAACCTAAGTTTAATTGTAACAAAGATAGTGAGGAAAATTTAATCTCCATTGGTAGCATTTCAAATAAGGGTAAGGTCCCACAACTAACACCACAAAATGCGTGTTATTTATGCTAAGCATATGGAAGGCCAGGCATGGATTCCAGCTAAAAAAAACCCATAACACGAGCCGAGGAAGCTAAACCCTGCAACAGGCACTTGCCCATCTCACAATCAGGGAGGCCATGCAGCGCCCTCCACTCAACAGAAGTCACTTGCATAAGGTCCCAGGGCCAATCAGAAACTGACAAAGGACCAGAGTCTAGGTCTCTAATTCCCAGGTCAGCCTTTCTCCCTCTGAACCCCAGGAAAATCATATTAACCTCAGTTACAGAAGCCTCCACAACAAAACCTGAAAATTAGTTTAAGTGCTGAGCAAGTATAGAGTACTTCTTTAGAAGGACAATACATTTTGTAACAACAAGGTAGTCATTACTGTGCATAAATTGTGAAGGGCTGAAAAGGAAGTAGAAAGCCTGGCTCTGGGTGACTGGTCATAAACAGAGCTAGATTGAATTCAAATACTCTGGGAAGTAGGCAACAGCTCCCTCTAGTGACAAAGAGAGGCATTATCAGCTTTAAACTACACTCCAGAGCACCCCAATTTTCCTTAAAGTTTAAGTTAGCCAGTGTTAAGTCCATAAAGAAATAAAGCTAACTATTGGACAAAAACAAAGACTTAGAAAATCAGAAGATAAAAATACACTTGATGATTTATAGGTATTTGAGGCCTAGAAAAAGTCCCAACATCCTGGTTGATCATAACTTGCCTGCCCTTCTAAAGCCAGTTAACAAATTTCAGAGTTGGGACCATGGCTCAACAGGCTAATCCTCCACTTTCAGCACTAGCATCCCATATGGGCAGCAGTTCATGTCCCGGGAGCTCCACTTCCCATCCAACTCCTTGACTGTGGCCTGGGAAAGCAGTCGAGGATGACTCAAAGCTTTGGGCTCCTGCATCATATGGGAGAATTGGAAGAGGCTCCTGCTTTGGCTCTGACTGTTGCAGCCATTTAGGGAGTGAACCAGTGCATGGAAGACATTTTTCTCTGTCTCTCCTTTCTCTAAATCTGCCTATCCAATAAAAAAAATCCTAAAAAAATTTTTTTTTCAGCCTGCTGAGAACCTAGTGTAAGGCTAAGCTGCAGGAAAGCAACCTTGCAGAGTAGGAGGGAGGAGGGCAGGACCCAATGAGCCGTTTTCCAGTCCTTAACCAGTTAGTGAAAAGATGAATGCTAAACACCCAAAGAATGAGTCCATCCACTATTCAAATAAGAGGCATCCTGTTCTCTTACTGATAATAGAACAAACTGATTATATGTGGTCAACATGTTTGGAAAAATTATAGAAATTAAAGACTTAGCCAAACTTTGATACATCTTACAAAGTAACTTGCTACTATAAAACCCATAAGAATGTGGCCCAATCACTTTGTAATATAAGACCATTCAACATGGCGCATGCGAGAGGGTGCTTGGGGCAGCAGTCAAGTCACTGCCTGCACGATGAGGGGCAACACATGACGGCTGCAGTAGCGGGGGTCCTGGCCACCCACCCAGGAGATTCAGATCCAGTTTCTAGTCCCCAACCTATTCCAGCCCTGGCTATTATGGGATCTGGGGAGGAAATCAGATAGAAGACACACTTTCTTTCTGTTTCTGCTTCTCAAATAAGTAAGATTCATTAATAGAAAAAATCTATCATTTGTAAGGCCCACAGAGATAAACAGAGAAGGCTGGCTGTTGGTCAGGCTCCATCCCGGGCCTGCCTGACTTCCTGAGGGCAGAGCAGGTCAACACTGTCCACACCTATAACCTATTTACATGCGCCAAATGGGAAACCCTGATACGCCCACACGTAGTTCATTTCATTCCTTCCTGATCCTTCCATCATTTTTAAACACAGCCTCCCATTGACAATGATGATCAAAACCTATAAATTATATAAACTATAACCCAGATAAAGGAGGCTCACTTACCTTTTGCTGAAGAGAAAGTGGCAGAGAAATCTGTAGCCTAACCTAAGATAACTATGGTAGTTTAGGGGCCACAAACTTGGTCTCATCCCATATGAAACCCTCCCTTGCTGGGTGTTAATAGTTTAACTACAATAATCCTTTAAACTGGAATCATGCCTTCAGGGTCCTACTCTCACTTTAGGAATGTTAATAGAATTAGACATCTTTGCTTCAAAAGGACTACTTCAGAAGGAAACTATACATTAGAGGAACATTCTGTACTTGCAACAATAACCACAGAAGGAAACAACATGAAAAAAATCAGCAACTAGAACACTTACCAGTCTTTCTGGGATATGTTCTTATTATAAATATGTCCAGAATTCTCTTTATAGGGAGGACAGATACATTTACATCGAACATCCTCAAAATTCTGTAACCAAAATGGAAACAGCACAGCTTGTTTACAATTTAACATGAACCACAACAGCAACAACAAAAACAAAAACATGACATATACATATTGCTGGCCAGATACTCTAAAACCATTCATTTAACACCTTCACTTGGAGAGATCCAAGTTTGCAAAGCTCACAAGTCGTTTGTGATATGCCTAATGAATCATATAGTACATAAAATTATTCTGAAATAATACCTAATACATGAGCCATGACTTATTAAACAGTTATGATCACATGACAATCCAATTGTGTTAATATTCTCACTACATACCCATGATTAGAAAGACATATAATAGACAAGTGTGCCTGTATATAAGAATGTTTATATATAATTGCTTATATGTGCTACATATAAGCAAACTAACAATTATTCAAAAACAAACAAAAAAAGAGTCCAGGTTCTGCCCACTGGCTTTCTCAGATGGAAGGGCTCCAACATGGAGAAAAAGAGTGAGCCAGTGTGCTAGAGCAGGGGTTAAGCTTGAGAGCCACCCAGCTGCAACGTCAGAAGGGAAGTGGTTTCATTGTGGGTGAGATCTGTATGGTGTGTGCCTCCCAGGGAACTAGCTGACAGGACAGGTTCCAAGAAAAAAGTCTGAAGAAGCCGAGGAAGAGTGACTATCCAGGCAGAGCGAGAGAGGAGCCTCTTCCTTAGCAAAGGGAACCCTGCCCGCCGAGATCTTCCAGCTCCTACAGTGATCCACCTGTTCACAAACTCACTCGGCAACCGCTTCTAGTGGGCACTAGCTCATAAGCACGAGGCAGCCTAGCACAGACCACAAACACACAGACGCCACCTGCGGGGGGCTGCTCTTCTAGTGGGGGGCCAGAACAGCTTTCCAAAAGCAGCCCTGCTCCCAGTAGCCCGCCACCTCCCCTACTTAAAAGTGTTGTTGTTTTTAAACTGCAGTGTCATTGATAACGGGCTAGAGCTCAGGAACGAGGCAGCCCCAACATGCTGAGGAGGTCAGAGCAGGAGAATTAGAGGCATCCAGCAGCCTGGGGGCGGGGGACACCTGGGAGGTCACCTCACCCCTGCCCCAGGTGGGGTCTTCCTTTAAACTCAGGAACGCAGAGGGCAGTCCAGGGGCAGGGAGGTCCCGAGCGAGCCCCTCCCTGGTCCTCCACGGGAAGGGGCTGAGTGGACCGAGTCCCTGAGGAGGACTTGCCTGGGGCTCGGGTTAGCGGACAGGGCGGAGAGGCTGTCCGGCCGGGGGCTGTCAGGGTCGCCCAGGCTGTCAGGGTGAGGGGGTGTCAGGGTGGCCCGGCAGGGTGGCCAGCAGGTGGGCAGGGGAGGAGCTCCTGTCAGAGGCGAGGGCTGGGCGGGACTCACCTTGGCGGCGGCTGACAGCGGCACCAGCAGCAGCACCCACAGCGCCAGGCAGGGCAGGCGGAGCACGGAGCCCAGGCCGAGGAGGCCTCCCCACAGGTTCGCCATCGCTGCCTCACCCGGCCCGTCCCCACAGCCCGGAGCCGCGCCCCCCCACCCCCGAGACCGGCTTCCCGGCTCGGACTCCGGCTCGGGATCCGGCTCCGGCGCCTACGCTTCCGCCCGGCCCTTCCGCGTCACCCGCCGCGCCGGGTCAGCAGCAAAAACCATCCACCCCGGAAACGGTTCCGCGTGCGAAGGGTCCGGAGGCTGCGCGGTCCCCGGCCGCTTGGCTTTGGCCCCGGGGGGCGGAATGGGGGGCTGCTGTATGGGAGGCAGCCTGGCCTCCGCTCGGGGTGTCCTTCCCCAGGGCGCCGAAGCACCCGAGGCCTTCTGCAGCCGCCATGGCCAGCTCCGGCGGTCAGAGGCCGGCCTCTGGAGGCCCGTAGCAGGCCGGACCCTTTGGTTGCCAGACCCCGGCTGCCCCTGGAATGGCTGCGTGTCCCAGTCCGTGAAAACGGGGCCGGCACTGGCCGAGCCATCACTTTCCGCGGAATCCCACTCCTCCTCGGTCAGGGCGCCGGGGGGGGGGGGGGGTTCATCCCCAGCACTTGAGGTACTGACCTGCCGGCCGCCGCGCCTTCGGGCACAGCTGCCTTCGAGGGGCGGCTGTCTGCAGGCCTCCGGCCCGGGCAGGCTCCTCAGGATGTGGAGCTGGCCAAAGTACCGCCCGGAGCGGCCTCCTCCCAGGATTGATTCCAGGAGGTGGGGACTCCGCGGGCGCGGCGCCCGGGGCTGAGGCCGGCCCATGCGGCCCCTCAGAGCTGGGAGAGCACTGGCCCTGCTGTCTCAAGAACCTAGATGTTTTCTGCTTTTGTGATTCTGCTTTAATTGCTTGGCTGGGGGCTGCGTGAACTCCAGGCCTGACACCTGGCAGGTCACGTAGGCAGACCATTCCTCAGGAAGGAGGACCCTGGTGTTTGATAAGATCCACTGCCCATCCATTTGTACCTTTTGAAAGTTGCTTGCCTCAAACCTACCAATAGAAGCCTGCCAACTTGCGCTTTTTGAAAGTTAACAGTTAAAACTGACCAATCATGACTGTATAATTGTATGGAATTGTCCTGAAATGTGTAAGAACCCTGTGCTTTTCAACCGGGCTCTTTTGCCGTCCCTGGTTATCCTGCAGCAGTCTCGGCTGCAGCTGCCCCTCTCCCGCCCAGGCCTGCTGGTTAGCGGAGACCGTGAAGCCAGCGGAGAGAATGCAGGCCTCATCCCAAAAGATTGGGGTTTTGCTGAACCACCTCAGACAAATCCCTTGCCTTTTTCTGTGCCTCTGGCCTGAGAGGGTTGATTTCTCAGGATGTCAGATTCTCCTCGGGCAGAATTCTCGTGTTTCTACAAAGCAGATTTTGAACATCACCTTTTCCTAGCTTGTGGAAATGTTTTGATTAGCAGAATTATCTGAATATTTTTTCTCCTGATTCTTACTAATGCCCAGCCAGCCCCAAACACAGGAGTGTGTCTGATATTGCACCCGATATTGTCAGTTCCAAACAACGAGGGCCGTCAGAGTTCGTTCTGGAGGCCTGCTGGCCCACTGCCTTGAGAAATTGCTGTCCCCTTGGTGAATTATGGAGCCCATGGGTGTCTGCTCACCAGAGGTCGGGGTCAGCTGTATCAGGGAGGCCTCAGGCATCTCAAGGCCAAAAGCTGCCTCAGCAGCAAGTTCAGGATCACGTTAGGGCTTTTTTTTAGATTTGACACAGAAAGAGTGCATTCCTCCCTGCTCGTGCTCATCTTTCCTACCTACATTATGTTTTCTTCTCTGCCTTTATACTCCCAACCCCTTCAAAGTCTTGTGAGCCCTCTGAGGGTGGAGATTTTGTCTGCCATTCTTTGTACTTGGAATCAGAGATCAGACAATAAATACCTACAGGGATCCAACACAGGACAAAAGTGGGGTGAAAGAGGCCAACAAAAAGTAGCAGGAACCTATACTTGAATCCTTACTCATTTTCTCTCTGGCCACAGATCAAGTTGAGATGCCCCACTGGAATCTGGGACCACCATGGCAGGCAAAGGAGGAGGGATCTCTGATCTAGGGTCTCAGGTGGTTAGGCTACACTGGAGTTCTGTTGATGTGTAGGACTGGCCTTGGCACCCACCCTTTTCCTTGCTTTCCTGTGGCTAGGTTTATCCCATTCCTCTTAAGGAGTGACTCAGGTGGTCCAGGTGTAGCCTCCCACCTGGCCTGGGTTCTCCCATTTCTTGTTGAGGGGAGAAAAATATTACACCCACACCCCTTGGAAGGGGTTAAGGAAAAGAGGAACCTTCTCTAAATTTAAGTGTGAAAGTCACAGGGAAGCTGAAGTGACAATTTATGTATCTGGGACAAACCTATCTGGGACTGGCTTTGCTAGCTCTGTTGTACCTCCTCCCCTCTAATCCTCACTCCCCTCCAGTGAATGAATAGCTCTCTGGATGTGTCCTTTTTTATTTTATTTTATTTATTTTTTTTCTCCTCTACCCCATCATTTCTTGCCTAAGCCACACCAGTGCAGGATAACAAATGCAGTCATGCACAGCCCAGATGATTTCCTTGGATTGTGCCTCTCGTGGTTATGATAGGACACACAGTTATTCCCAAGCACACCCCGGAAGTGTCTTAGGTAAGCCCTTTCCTCTGCACATTTGCTAGGATGCTCCCTGCCATGAGGCCGTTTGGGTGAGATGTTTCTACCCTTTGCTGTCAGTAAAGGTATTTGTGTCATACCATCACATCCTAGTGCCCACCATAGAACCTCATCTCTTTTCCTAGAGCTGTTGATGCTACCACTGCCAGCAAGTGGTTGGGGTCCCTAAATTAATCAAGTAATACAGTACAACTCCATGCCAAAATAAAGAACATTCCCCTCCCCAAAAAAAGGGGCCTAAATATTGTTGGTTTTCCAGTGTCTTACAATACTTAGTAGAAACAATTCCTCTTCTCTGTCCTCTAAGATATTTCAAACCAATGAGTTGCTATATTGAACACTAATTCTTTATCAATTACATTAAAAATAAAGTAGTAGCATCCATAGGCTTTTCATGAAAAACAGCAAATCCTGCCCAAGACCTTCACATTTCCTATTTCTATTTCTCAGAGCCTTTTTTTTTTTTTTTGTCTTTAGCTCTCTCTCTGGGATTTATCTTCCTATTTCCAACATAGCATGCTTAGAGGTGAGCGTTTATTGCAGTGGTTAAGACATGGTTGGGATGCCTATACCCCATAGGAGGTAACATGTGAAGGCTCATGTAGTGTTTCCCTGTCACCCATGTAGGAGACCTGGATTCAGTTTCTGGAACCCAGGAATTTTGGGACTGAACCAGAGAAAGGGATATTATTCATTCTCGTGGCTTCAGGTAAACTGAAAAAACAACAAAAAAATAGGGGCCACATATTTTTTTTTTTTCCACAGTGGTTAACACAGTTCGGGCCCGGCGCGGTGGCGCAAGTGGTTAAGGTTCTCGTCTTGCATGCCCGGAATCCCATATGGGTGCCAGTTCTATCCCTGCAGCCCCGCTTCCCTTCCAGCTCCCTGCCTGTGGCCCGGGAAAGCAGTTGAGGATGGCCCAAAGCTTTGGGACCCTGCACCCACGTGGGAGACCTGGAAGAGGCTCCTGGCTTCGGATCGGCACAGCATCGGCCGTTGCGCTCACTTGGGGAGTGAATCATCGGATGGAAGATCTTCCTCTCTGTCTCTCCTCTCTGTATATCTGCCTTTCCAATAAAAAAATAATAAAAATAAATATTTAAAAAAATAATAAAAAAAAATAAGATGGCTGCATCCTAAACTGGAGTGCCTGACTTCAGCACCAGCTCCTCCAATTTCTTTCTTTCTTTCTTTTAGATTTATTATTTTTTTTTATTGGAAATGCAGATATACAGAGAGAAGGAGAAACAGAGAAACAGAGAAAGATCTTCTGTCCACTCATCCACTCTCCAAGTGCCTGCAATGGGAAGTACAGAGTTGATCCAAAGCCTGGAGCCTCTTCTGGTTCTCCCATGTGGGTGTAGGGTTCCAAGGCTTTGGGCTGTCCTCTACTGTTTTCCCAGGCCACAAGCAGGGAGCTGGTGGGAAGTGGAGCAGCTGGGACATGAACCAGCACCCATGTGGGATCCCAGTGGATGCAAAATGAGGATTTAGCCTTTGAGCTATTGTGCTGGGCCCTAGCTCCTCCAACTTCAATTCAGCTTCTTATTAACGTGCTTCCTGGGAGGCCAGGATGATGGTTCAAGCGGCTGAGTCCCTACTACCTAGGGAAGAGACTAGGAAGAAGAGCTGAGCTCCTGACTTCAGCCTGGTCGAGCCTCGGTTGTAACATGCATCTGGGGAATGAATGAATGAGAGAGTTAGAACAAGATATCTCTGTCACTCTGCCTGTCCTCTAAGCCCACGGCACAGCTTGCACCATGGATTTCATTTTTCCTTGCCCATTATTTTCTACCTCTTCTTTTTTCCTGAAATATTTTTACGTTCCAACTTTTCTTTTGAACTTTAAAATTTCTGTTGGCATGTTACAAATTTGCTGGAGTTAATTTTTAAAAATGTTTTTATCCAAAAATATTGACATTTGAGCCAGCATTGTAACGCCTTAGGCTAAGCAGCTGCCTGAAATATTGAATCCTATAGCAGAGTGCTGATTCTAGTCTTAGCTGTTCCACTTCCAACTCAGCTCCCTGCTAATGCACCTGGGAAGGCAGTAGAAGATGGTCCAAATACTCAGGCCCATGCCACCCACATGGGAGACCCAGCTGGAGTTTTGGGCTGCTGGCTTTAGTCTGGCCCATCCTTGACTGTCACAAGCCATTTGCAGAATGAATCAGGAATTTTCTGTCTCTCCTTTGCTCATTTTGTATCACTGGCTTTCAGATAATTAAAATCTGTTTCAAAATTTTAATATTATTGTAAATTGAAAAATGCTAATTAGATACATTTATAGGCTATAAAGTGATGATATATTTATACAATGTGCCAGCTCATTAGCATAGCTAACACCTTAGATACATAATTTTTGCAATAAGAACATTTAGAATGTACTCTTAGCAATTACTTTTTGAAAAGTAAAGTGAAAGAGAGAAGGGGGAGCAGATAAAGAAATCTTCCAGCCATTGATTTACTTTCCAAAT